TATATATATATATATATATATATATATATATAGATAGATATTAGTGGATAATTGTGATATTAACTATTGATATTGCTTTAAGATTCAAAATTTGGGGATCTCTCAGGAATTTTTGATGTTTTTAGACTACATTGACGGTCAAAACCAATGTAAAATCATTTTAGTCAATGTTTTTATAATAAAATAGTGATATTTGCTGTTAATATTGCCTTAAAATGCAAATTTGGGAGGTTTATGATATTTTCAGACTGTATTTATGCTCAAAATCAATGCAGAGTTATGAGAATTAATGATATCAATGACTAATAGTGATATTTGTCATTAATATCAAATTACAATTTAAATTCACAAGGTTTTTATGGGATTTTTGTTGGTTAAAGACTGCATTGACTTTCAAAATCAATGAAAAATTATTAGAATCAATGGTTTTGATGAAAAATCGTAATTTTGTTGTTAATATCACCTTAAAATTCAAATTTGGGAGTTTTTTTAGGACGTTTATGATGTTTTGAGACTGTATTCACGCTCAAAATCAATGCAGAATTATTATTATTAACGATATTGGTGTGTAATAATGATAGTTGTCATTAATATCGAATCAAATTTCACATTTAGAAGGTTTTTATAGGATTTTTGATAGTTTAAGACAGCATTGACGCTCAAAATCAATGTAAAATCATTTTGATCAATGTTTTTAATACAAAATCGTAATATTTGTCATTAATTTCACCTTGCAATCGATATTCAGTGTACTTTCTAAGAATTATTAGTGTTTTTTGACTGCATTGCTCAAATTAATGTAAAATCAGTTCAGTTAATGATTTTTCAAGAAAAATAGTGATATTTGTTATTAACATCGCTTTAAGACTTAAATTTGGGAGATTTTCCAGAGATTTTTTATATTTTTAGACTGCATTGATGCTCAAAATCAATGTAAAGTAATTTTAGTAAATATTTAATAAAAATAGTGATATTTGCTATTAATATCACCGTAAAATTCAAATTTGAATGATTTTTCGGAGACTGCAATGTTTTGAGACTGCATCGATGCTCAAAATCAATGCAAGGTTATTAATATTAACGGTATTAATAATTAATATTGATATTTGTCATTAATATCAACTTTAGATTCAAATGATGTAAACTTTTCTAGAATTTTTGATATTTTTGACTGCATCGATGCTAAAATCAATGTAAAATCACTTTACTCAACATTTTTAATGAAAAATCGTAATATTTGTTATTAATATCGCTCTATAATTTAAATTTGGAAGATTTTTAGGTTTGTGATATTTTTAACTGCATTGACACTTAAAATCAATACAGAATTATTTTTGTCAATATCTCAGGAACTAATAATCCGATTTTAATAAAATTTTTATATGTTCCTAACCTCGACTTATATTACTAAATACAATAATAATAACAACAACAAAAACAATAATAGTAATAATAATTAGCAGTTTAAAAAAATTAAGTAAAAGAGAAATGTCACTTAATTTAGTCCCACAATTATAAAATTAAAAAGCCAATTAGAAAATTTCAGAAATCTAAAACAATTTAAGAACACTTTTTTTTTCAATTATTAAATTAAAAAATAATTTTTTTCACTCTTTTCTAATAATTTAAATTTAACAATTTTTTTTAATAAATATATAAAAATTTTCTTTAAATGTATTTTAGGGCTATCTTAAAAAAATTCCTCTGAATTATCAAGATCTTATCTTTAATGCAAATTACCATAGTAATTTAATAATTACCGATAAATTTTTTTGTGATTTTAAAAACCAATTTCTTCATTTAATAAATTTAAGCTATTATTTCAAAATACTTAACACGCACGCAATATTAAATATTATATTATCAAACATGTTATTTAGTTATCACGATGAGTCAGGATATTAGTCAGAGTTGGGTGTAAAAAAATAATATAATAAAATATTGAATAATATTATTAAAAGTAAGTATCCAAGGATAAAAGTTAGAAACTACAATTATAAAAATAAAACAAGTGAAACTTATTTATAAATTTATAAATAAAATAGTCCGTGGGGAAAAAGAGTGAACTTTTGAAATAAATAGTATAAAAAAGAAGACCGGTCTCTGTGTCTGGAACTCTGGAGTCGCTATACTATTCATTCTATATAATACAAGAATCAAGGCTAATGTGTGAGGTTTTCGACCTTTCACTCCCACGATCTCACCTTTCGCGGTCTGGATACAATTTTGCCGGAAATGATATTTTTTTATTTGTCTTCTATGACTAATTCTTTTCCTTGAGAAACAGTCATCTTTTCTGATAAAAATTATATTAGATTGTTTAATATTAAATATTTTATTGTTGCGTGAATAATCAATAGCTTTTGAATTAATGAGACGCTAAGTAATTACTAAGTATTAGTTTTAGGTATTTAGAGCGTAAAATTGTTTTTTTCAAAATGAAATAAATGTTAAAACCAGCCACAACTCGTAAACTACCCGACGGATTTAGCTCATATTCAAACGGTATCTCGGTATTGATTCGTAGAATAAGTACACTGAGTTTCATAAAGATCGGTCAAGAACTATAGGCGCAATCCTGCTTACATGCCGCTCTCTTCCGTAGATGTAAACTTTTCGGCTGATTAAACATATCCAAAAATTTTCTTTAAATTCCGACGTCTCGGCTACAATATCTACATTTCTAAAGAAATCTTCCTAAAAAATCTTTTAATTATTATATCTCGACAACAAAACGATAATAAGCTACTTTATATGTAGATTTCTTTATAAATCTGTTGCAGAAGTACTCTTGTAGGAATTAACATAAAATTTTGCTATAATATGTTTTATTTTGTTGAGCTATACCGAAAAATAGCTCAAAAGTTTATATATGTGATAGAACCGGGGTGTAAGCACGATTACGGCCGCAATTCTTTACGGATCTCGATCAAACTCAATACATTTATTCTATCAACGAAAATCTCGGTCAAGTTTGAAAAAGGGGCAAATCGGTCCATTAGTTCCAAAGTTGTGGGTAAGAGAAAAATTTTTTCATTATCATTAAAATATTTATTTAACGAGATTTTCCCAAATAAATTAAAAAGCATAATTGATAACTTAATTCTGGCAATTGTTATTTTAAAGTTCATGTAATTATCAATTTACCTTATTATAATTTCTTTTTAAATAATTTTAAATATTTTTTCTTCAGCTTATAAAATCAGCAATATGAAAAATAATTATTTTTATGTAATTATCCTCGAGATAACTGCATAACTAATTGTATAAAAATTCCCAGTGCAAGTTATAGCTCATTAAATAAGTAACAATTTTAATTATTAAATGTATAATTTCCCTTAAATTTATAAATTTTACAAACGTTCTAAAGGTAGTGTCAAATATTTAAACTATTATGTGCTCAAATTGATAAATCTATCTTTCTATATCAAGTGTGGCTTTTTTAAAATTAATTTTTCAATAAAATTAGTCATTTTTTTTTTAACATTATAAATTTTGGCTCAATGAAATATTTAAAAATAAAATAATTCCAAAATTGATTAAACGTTCCAATAATAAAATATTGAATAAATAATTATGATAAAATAAATGAAAGATTTAAAATGACAGCATATCAATGGTATTTATTCTTACCAAAGAATAATTAACGTTCTGCCCGATTTAACTCCGCATAGTATTTAAATCCAGCGTTAATCAAAAATTTATTTCAAAAAAATGAAATATTATTATTTACTAAATAAGTACTCTTGTTTTTAATTACCCACAATAATACTTTTAACTATTACCTACTTCAATTATTAAATATAAATTTTTAGGTCAATGCTATTTTTCAACATAAAAAATATCCCAAAATTTTCTTTGAATTGCGACATAAGATAAGAAAATTTCTTAAATTTGAATAAAAATTTTACATATAATAACATAGTTATTAACTTTGTTTAATTTTTTATGAAATCATTTTTTTAATTTTTCTAATCGATAATTTATTAATAAAAAAAAAACTTTTAAAGTTTGTAAATTATTTAATAAATAACAAAATCATTGAATTTTTAAATAATTTTATTATTTAACAAGTAAATATTATTTATAAAGATACACAGAGTAAGTTTTGATTACAAGTTATAAATTGAGCATTTAATATTTATGTTGAGAATGAGTAACAGACCATTATTCTCTCAGTGCATTGTTACTTAAATTAATTTAAATTACCTATAAACAGTTGTGCGTTGAATAATTGAATACTTTTTTTTTTTTTTTTTTAGTCTAGTAAATAGAAGATCTAATTGGTCGGTTTATTAGGTACTAGCGCCGAATAACTCGCAAGTAATAACTCTGAATTACTTTTTTAATTTTTAAGGTACTGAAATCAGCAGATATCTGACAAATTTAAAAATAAAATTAATTATTTAATAATATTTTTAGTGTTTTAATTACTATTTTAAGGTAAAGGAACCAATTAGTGACACCTATTTTTATTTTAAATCTTATTTATCTACAATATTAATAGAAATTTTTTTTATACAAGAATTAAAAAAAATTAATGAGAAAGATTAATTAATTAAAATAATAGAGTTTAGTATTCTGAAACTCGTAAAATAAACTAGAAGTAAGCACTAAAATTTCCAGATTTTTAATTATTTTTTAAACTAATCAAATTAAACATTTTTTTTTAATAAATAAATTAAGTATTAAAAATTAACAATCTCGGATATTTACATTCAACTGAATGGTTATTAATTATAAAATAATTGGTGACAATAATTGGTACATAAAATATATGGATCTGATATTGACAGGTGAGTTTATACTAAGCTGTAATCTCTCCAATCTGATTTTACTTATTGTATTTAGATCAGATTAATGGTGACAAGTAAGCATTAAGGGTGTCAATAATTGGTGCAACGGTATGTCACTAGTTGGATCAATCGATTTATTAGCCTGTCAATAATTGGTGTGTCCGGATAATTGACTTTGTCGATTGAAATTAATTATTAAACTTGAGAAAATATTATTAAAAAGCATTCATTTTGTTTCTTAAAAGATTAATTAATATAATGTAAAACAAAAAATTGGACAATCTTAATTTAAAATATGTTTAAAAAAATGAAATCCTTTTGTTAAATTGCACTGAACTCTCTTAACTATTGACTTTTTTAAAGATATAAGCTCATCTTGATGTTACATTCATCAAGAGCTTTCATTTGAGTACCCACATGCATTTTTGATATATTTTTCATATATACATATATATAATATATATAAATATATAAAATATATGAAAAATTGATGTGGGTACTCAAATGAAAGGTCTTGATGAGTGTAACATCAAGATGAGCTTTTATCTTTAAAAATTTCATTAGTTCACAAGATACAGGGTCATTTCTTAATTATGTATCTAGAGACAGCTTTTTTGAATGCAGCCTAAATAATCATCAAAATACACTGGCTACAAAATTTTGCTTATTTTCTTAATAATATAAATAATAATAATAATAATAATAATTATTATTATTATTATTATCAGATATCTATTAAAATCAGTCCCACTTCTTTTCTCACAAATTATCAAAATAATAAACCAAAAAAGTTAATCTTATCAGAGTTATTAAGGGTACCGGTGAATTAACACTAAATAACAATAAAATAACTTAACTACCTAAAGATCTAAGATCAAATAGAATATTTGGCACATCGAAGTCAGTCCTATTATAACATACATGTCTTAAGGATAATTACTTTCGCTCCTTGGAGTCCTTGTACGCTTGAGACTGGATCACCCTCTCTTTCAGCATCATGTACTGCTTTTGAACATGAGACACTTTTGATTTTAAAGAATCAGTCAACTCTTTTTGAATTTGCTGGACTTCTTGCATTTCTTTTCGGAGGTTCAGGTAATCTTCTGTTATTTCTGATACTGTTTGGATTAATTCCATTACTGAATCCTGAAATGATAATAATAATAATAATAATAATAATAATTGAGATTCAATTATTACAAAATTTTTTTTTTTTATTAATTCAATATTAAAACTTAAAAAAATATAATTTAATTTTTTTATAAAATTTATTTCTTAATACTAATTTAAATTTATAAATAAAAAAATAAAATTTTAATATCAAGAGGTTATTAAAAAAGAATAAAATAAATAAATAATTAAAAATAATACCTGATTTTCTCCAGAAGGAAATTCTTTTTCAAAAGACTCCAGTCTCCAGGTAATTGATTCAATTTTATCATCCGTGTTTTTTAACTAAAATATAAAAATTAATTATTATAAATAATAAATATATAAATATCAATAATATTAGTAATAAAAGGTTTGAGGGTTAGAAAAGAATACTTACACTTTCTTCGAGGTTTGAAAATGCCTTCTCCATTTTTATTTATTTTTTATAAGAATTTTCCGGACAGTTATTTAATAAATCACCAAAAATAACAAGAAATAACAATAAATGTTAAATTTTTTGGTGATTAATTTAAAAAATTTTGTGTTGGTATAGATATAAATTTATAATTCCCGATGGGTGGTTGACTAAAAGACCACAGGAATTCCTGCGTGTTGTTGTGGGCTTTTGCGCATGCGCAAATAAAGCGCGCGTAGGTTTTAAACAAGCGGGAAAATTTAAATAGTTTCAATAATTTAATTATTTTTATTTGAATTTAGTAAATTTTAGAAATCTAATTTTTAAATTAAATAATAAAGTAGATAAGAATGTAATTGTAAAATTCTAAATAGTTAATTAAGAAAAGCCATATATAAAAAGATCTGGTCAGATCTGCTCCGCAGATCTGACTACATCTTTAAATTATCTCTATCTGACGAGATCTGGCCAGATATAATTAGATCTGACCAAATATAACTCAAAAAATAATCTGATTAGATCTGACCAGATTTGGTTAGATCTTTAAATTGTCTCTATTTGGCAAGACATGGCCAGATATAACTAGATCTGACGAGATATACTAAAAAATTGTTTATATTAAATATCACAAAATCTGAATAGCCATATTGAAATCTGATCAGATATAACAAAATAATAGCTAAATAATCACATCAACAAAAATTACAATTTCATGGAACAATATCCAGTGAATACTATTTTCTTTTCACACTTCAAGTATCTGTCTTGATTAATTACTAAAAAAAAAATTTTTTTTAATAAAAGCTAGTTGAAAATACCTACATGTATCAATTAATCTTTAACAAATATGTGATGAATATATTTCTCAATAAATAAATGGTAAGAATTGAAGAGCCATTGTTATTAATTCTTTATGATTTACTACAATATATGTATAACTACATAATCAGATCTGATCGAATCTGATGCTGTTGGCAGCTCTGATATAGTTATATCTGCCCAGATATGATAACATCTTTTCATATATAATGTATATTGTTCAACCCAGATATGGTTATATCTGTTTAGATCTGATCAGATATCACTAGATCTGATTATGTCTCAAATCCCATATCTGGTCAGATATCACTAGATCTGACCGGATATAATTAGATCTTAGATATAATTATATCTGGTTAGACCTAAACCTTTTTTCCCGTCAAATTTAATGAAATTTAACTTTTGCATTAGTTTATATCTAAATAATTTCCTAAAAACTTGACTATCTAAAATAAATTAGCATCTTCTATAAAAAACAACTTCCAAGGTCTCGAATTGATCGAGAATGTCAAAGACCCCTGGTAATAATAATAAAAATAAACCCGAAAAAACAAGCCTCTTGTAATAGAGTGACAAAGTCTATTACACATTACACAACCACTTAATAATCTTTTTAAAACTAAAGAAACAAAGCTAATCAGCCTTTCAATGTCAAGCGCTTCTATTCGGCTAATAAATTCCGAGACTTCCTGCGGCATATGCTGCTAAATTATCACCATGTCCCACATAGACAACATATAAAAGCGGCAAAATAAAAAGTTTCATCAGTCAAGCACCCAGAGACCCGGTGGTGCCTCTACCCAATATTCGTACACGCCGTGGCAATATCCGCCATGTTGTCGTCAATTTTGATCTTTATTTTCGCAGTTTCTGCGCCAATTTCTGCCTTTTCAATCAACAAACGCGAGTCCAATGATCTTGAGGACCTCGAGGGTGTCATAAGCCTGTCCCACTTGGGGAACACGATGTTTGGAACTCCGAGTAATAAAACTGGAAGCAGAGTCGCAGAATGGAACCAGGAAGCTGGAGTCAATCCAGAGGAACTTGGAGAATATGCTGAAGGGGATATTCTTATCCCCAGGACAGCTTCTGGGAGAAGTGGACTGGCAAACAGCGCCGCCAGATGGCCAGATGCGACAATTCCGTACATGATCAGCCCTTGGTTCAGTAAGTTTTTAATTATTTAATTTTAGTTTGTTAAATAGCGTCACCGCTATTTAATTAAAGTTCCTGAAAATTTGTAAAGTAGCCTAATAATAAAAAAATAGTTTGGAAAATCCAAAAGTGCACGCCTCATAACGCTCATTCATTTTTTAAGAAAAAATAAATTGTGTAATAAAAAAAAAATAATTAAGTAATTTCTTATTTTTTTTTTTTTAAATATCGGCGCCCTTTTTTCTTGTCATATGCGCATGCAGTCTAAAAAAATCTAGCTTGATCAAGTGGCGCCATAGTTTTCACGTGACAAATAAGAAAAGTTCGTTTGTCTTTGTACGGTTGTATCGTAGTGAATTTTAATAAAAATTCAATTTAAAAAAACAAATACGTAAACTAGGCTACTAATATTAAATATGGACCCAGTTAATCGAATTCTTAAACTAATAAAAAAGGTCCGGTCTTGAAATATCTATTTGTTCGGGAGTAATCGTTGTTACATCCAAAATGGAGTGACATCAGGACGTCCACGTAAAATTTTTTTCAAAACATTTTTTTTTTTCAAAATAGCAGCATGAAATGATTTTAGAAAGTAAAAGATGGTTTAATTTAAGTGTTTTCTCGGTGTACCTCTACTTATATTATTGTATAAGTGTAATATGGTTGTGATAGAGGCATTTAAAGATCACAAAATTGCTTGACCTTGACGAGTCGAGTATAAAGCACAACCTCACGCGCTTCGCGCTATGAGGCGTGCAATAATACGATTTAATGTGACAAAACTTTGGAATCTTAATTTATAGCTAATAGAAAGCTTAAAGTCATGGAATTATTTTTAATGCATTTATAGTTTTCTTATAATTACTTTTAAAAATCACCAACTAAATTTTAAGATTATTTTCAACAACCTTTAAAAAAAAATTCCACCGAGTTTTTATGAATTTTTGAAAATTATAAAATTGCCAGATCATTTTAAACTTGTGATATCAAAACTAACGATTTAATGTAACTAATCGTTGGAAGCTTGATTGATTTTTAGGCTACACTGGGAGAAAAATCTGGTTCTCTGAACTAGCAAAATCTAGTTAAATAGCATCGCCACTATTTAATAGAAGTTCTTATACCTAAAATAATAAATTATATTGAACCCCACTAGATAGTTACTTAAACTATTTTTATTTAAATATCGGCTTAATAGTAGTCTTTATTAACTTTAACTGAGAAAACAGAAAAAATAATTGTTACAGCCCGGACCGGGAATCGAACCCGGATCTTTTGGTCAAGCACCAACGGCTCGGACAGTTAAGCTATCTGAACCATCGTCCGTAACAACCTTTCAGTCACCTAATTATTTTTTATTTAACACGATAGAAAAATATTTATTTAAATACAGTCCATATAACTATTTATCAATGGTTACTTAAACTAATGCATACTTCGAGTAAATAAAAAAAAAAAACGTTTAGAAATATTTTAATACTTGCGACGTTGTAATTCAATTTTTGGGAATTTTAGAGTCGGAGCAGTTGGAAATTATCATGGAAGCAATGGATGACTTCCGAAAGTACACTTGTATACAGTTTGTGCCCCACAATGGCGAAAAGGATGATTATATAAGACTCACCGCCGGTAATACCGGCTGCTGGTCCAGTGTGGGTCGCCTTGGCGGCCGTCAGGATGTTAATCTCCAGGTTCCAGGGTGTGTGGTGAAAAAGGGGACTGTTATTCATGAACTGATGCATGCTGTTGGGTTCATTCACGAGCAGAGTCGCTATGATCGCGATGAATTTGTCGATATCCAGTGGCACAATATAAAACCAGGTATTTTTTAGATAGGTTTCTTTATAAATCTGTTGCAGAGGTACTCTTGTAGGAATTAACATAAAATTTTGCTGTAATATGTTTTATTTTGTTGAGCTATACCGAAAAATAGCTCAAAAGTTTATATATGCGATAGAACCGGGGTGTAAGCACGATTACGGCCGCAATTATTTACGGATCTCGATCAAACTCAATACATTTATTCTATCAACGAAAATCTCGGTCAAGTTTGAAAAAGGGGCAAATCGGTCCATTAGTTCCAAAGTTGTGGGCAAGAGAAAAATTTTTTCATTTTAATTAAAATATTTATTCAACGAGATTTTCCCAAATAAATTAAAAAGCATAATTGATAACTAAATTCGGGCAATTGTTATTTTAAAGTTCATGTAATTATCAATTTACCTTATTATAATTTCTTTTTAAATAATTTTAAATATTTTTTCTCCAGTTTATAAAATCAGCAATATGAAAAATAATTATTTTTATGTGATTATCCTCGACATAACTGCATAACTAATTGAATAAAAATTCCCAGTGCAAGTTATAGCTCATTAAATAAGTAACAATTTTAATTATTAAATGTATAATTTCCCTTAAATTTATAAATTTTACAAACGTTCTAAAGGTAGTATCAAATATTTAAACTATTATGCGCTCAAATTGATAAATTTATCTTTCTATATCAAGTGTGGCTTTTTTAAAATTAATTTTTCAATAAAATTAGTCATTTTTTTTTTTTAACATTATAAATTTTGGCTCAATGAAATATTTAAAAATAAAATAATTCCAAGATTGATTAAACGTTCCAATAATAAAATATTGAATAAATAATTATGATAAAATAAATGAAAGATTTAAAATGACAGCATATCAATGGTATTTATTCTTACCAAAGAATAATTAACGTTCTGCCCGATTTAACTCCGCATAGTATTTGAATCCAGCGTTTAAAAATTTATTTCAAAAAATCTAAATATTATTATTTACTAAACAAATACTCTTGTTTTTAATTAGGCACAATAATATTGTTTTTTAGCGAGCACGATAAATTTTGTGAAAGTGGGAAAAGATACTACAGATCATTTCGGAGTTAAGTACGACTTTGGCAGTGTGATGCATTATTCCAAAAATGCTTTCTCAGCTAATGGACAAGCGACAATTATTCCTAAAGTAATAATCTAACTATTCTTATATTAATTTAATGATTAAAATTGAATAAATGAAAGAATTATTAGAACTTAATAAATTTATTGGACCTTAGGAAACAAACGGTGGATTTTTCGGAGCATTCGACGATTTATTCGGTGGAACAAAGCCTTCGCTAGGTCAAAGAGAGGGCTTTAGTAAACAAGACATCAGAAAAATACGGAAAATGTACAACTGCGACGGGCCAAGAAGGCGGAATGCAAGGTCTCGCCCCCAGGTTAGTCTTTTCGATTTCTTCTGGTAGTCAAATGAGGGATCCAACCAAAAAGGAAGCTAGTGGACGTCTTTCTTGTGCATGATCGAGTGTAACGATGGCTGCTGGTCGTCCTGTGGATCAAAAAAATTATTATTAATTTATTATTATTAAGTAATTGCCAAAGCAAGAATTACCTGATAGCTGGTCCAAAAACACTCGGTAAAATGTTGCGCGCGCTCACACGGGTTCGTCAGATCTGAAAAAAAAATAATTTTAATTATAATAATTTTATTTTGTGATTTTTTTCTTTTAAATTTAGTAAAAGTTATTAAAAAATAAAGAAAAAATATTTAAATAATTAATATAGCTGATTTTTAAATAAAAAAATTTTTTTAAATTTGAATTTTCCCGCCAGTGATGACGTAGTTCTGTATCCGGCGCGCATCGCCATCTTACAGAAATTTAAGGAACTAAATTTATTTTTTTCTTGTAGAAAACAATTTATTTGTTTTCTTTACATGAAAATTTCACTTATCATAATTAATTTAATTAAAATTAATCAAAAAAAAAAATAATTACCTAAGTCAATGCACTTTCTCAATAAAATATCGGTGTCATTTTCCGATAATTGAGCTTGGCGCATCCAGGCCTTGATGTTGTGAACTTTGAAGCCTCCATGACGATCCATCTATTAATTCATACTTTTATTAGCTACATTACACAATTTATTTACTTATATTTGATATTTAATGATTACCCAATCAAATTCACTGTAGACGCACAGTAGAAAGCACTGGAATTTTTTTTTTCATTAATATTTTTATTGATAATGATAATTAATTATTTTGATTAATTACTCACCGCCAATGGATGGTGGGATTTCACATGCAGCCGGTTTAGATTGTGGTTCATTAAATAATCATTGAGTACTCGTAGATCAACGGGGTCTGTTGTATTACAAATTCTTACTATCGCCATGTCTTGTCTTATTGCCTATATTTTATAAAATTATATTTTTAAATTTCTTATCTACAATTTTTAACAAATACAAATTAATACTATATATCATTTTAGAAAAAAAATTAATTTTTTTTTATATAGTAAAAATATAATCATAATATAATTAATTGAAAATATTTCCTGTATAAATTATATGACCATTTTTTTACCGACATTGTAAAAAAATATACTAATTCAGCTAAATAAATTTATTTTTGTATTAACTAAGTAGATATGTACTTTAGGTACTCGTGTGTCAGCGCACTCTTTTTGCTCGTTGCGCTAAGCTCTATTATTATTTTTTAAATAGTAACAGTGACCGTAGCAACGCCCCGCCCTTTCATAACAATACTCCGCCCTTTTGTAGCAACGCGCTATATTAACATAGAAACGCTCCGCCCTTTATAACAACACACCGCCCTTTTATAATAAAACCCCGCCCCTTTCTAGCAACGCAGTCTATCACCATGGCAACGCTTTGAATTTTCATAGCAACAATTATCGTGGCAACGCTCCGCCCTTTTATAATAACGCTCTGCCCCTTTGTAGCAATGCGTTATATTACCATAGCAACGCTCCGCCTCTTTAAATCAACACCCCGCCCCTTTGTAGCAAAATGATCTAGTACCATAGCAACGTCCCGCCTTTCCCTAGCAACGCGCTATATTACCATGACAACGCTCCACCCTTCTATAATAATACTCCGCCCCTTTTATAGCAACGCAGTCTATTACTATGGAAACACTCCGCCCTTTTATAGCAACGTAGTCCACCAAAATGACAACGCTCCACCTTTCCATAGCAACAGTTACTGTAGCAACGCTCCGCCCCTTTGTATCAATGCGCTATATTACCATGGCAATATCCCGCCCCTTTAAAACAAGACCCCGCCCCTTTGTAGCAACGCGCTCTATTATCATAGCAACACCCCGCCTTTCCCTAGCAACACACTATATTAACATGGCAACGCTCCGCCCCTTCAGAACAATACTCCGCCCCTTTATAGCAACGCAGCCTACTACCATGGCAACGCTCCGCCCTTTATAGCAAAGCTCCGCTCCTTTTTAACACCTCACTATATTACCATATCAACGCCCCGCCCTTTCCTTAGCAACGCGCTATATTACCATGGCAACGCTCCGCCTTTTTTTAAAAACTCCTCCTACTTTTGACATTCCTTTAAAATTTATCTACTTTATCAGTTATAAAATATAGTTTCACATTAAATAGTTAATATCATAAATTTTGTATAAAATTGAACTAATTTGCATTTAATTTAAAAAAAAATACAGATGGCGCTTTTTTAACTTCAATCTATTTAATAGATGGTGCTGAATTTTTTTTTTTTAATTTGTCATAGTATATAAAATATATATTTAATACCTATCTCATTTTTGTGAATATTTTTTACATTTAAATTTTAATCAAAATTACGATTACATTTTTTATTAAACACTGCATAGTATAAATTTTTTTACATTCAATATTTATAAAAGAATTTTATTCGCTTACAATAAATTTTTTTTAGTATTAAAAAAAAATACTTACACTAGAAAACACAACAGTAAAAACAGTAGGCAAAATTGCAAAATAAAAAACAAAACTCATTTTGTTTACAAAATTCTAAGTGTTTACTGATTCGCGTATCAAACACAACTGGCATCTCGGGTGTTAGATTACCCACAGTTACAATATATAATTCCTCAGATAGTGTGAGTAAATAGTTCATGTCAATGAGTGAATTGATAAGCTGACCCTCTGTTAAATTACAGATAAATACTTTATTACAAAAAAAAAAAAACACATTACAAAGAAATAAATCATCGGATCCAAGTTTTCTTAATAAAATCAGCAGCTCTTTCGCCGATCATTATCGCAGGGGCATTAGTGTTCCCGGAGGTCACTGCAGGCATGACGCTGGTATCAGCAACGCGAACACCACGAACTCCTCTGACCCGGAGCTGGTTATCGACCACCGCAAGAGGGTCATCGTCAGCACCCATCTTGCAAGAGCCAGCCTGGTGGTTCTCCGGAGCGGTATCGCGCTTGATAGCGCACTCCCAGTAGGCGTCGCATCCGAACCTCAGATTCTCGCAGCCTTTAACAGGAGTTCTATCTAATTCAAACCCGTAGCGGGATAACACGCGAGTTTCCGCCAATCTTACGCAGAACTTTATCCCCTCCACCAGCCGCTTGACGTCCTCCGGCTCGGTTAGGTACCGTGGGTAGATCATAGGCTTTGACAGAGGGTCGCTGTCCTTTAGTTTTAGCTCTCCGCGGGATTTTGGGTGCAACAAAGTTGGAATCATTAGGATACTTCGGCGGTTTCCTTTTTTTTCTCCCACGGTTCCTGTTTCTGCGCAGTCTGCTAAGTAGCCGCCGAAGATTAGCTGGATGTCTGGGTGGTCATCTTCAGGGTTTGCGTATTTTGTGTTTATCATTGCAGTTACTTCGGAAATACCTAAAATGTCAAAAAAATGTGATATTTTTGATGAATAAGAAGTTAGTAAAGAAGTTTTTTAAGTTTTTTGGATAGGATTGCTAAAAAATGGTTGCTAGGGGGCGGTACTTAACAATAGTTGCTAGGTAAATGTTTTTAAGGGGCGTTACTAAGTTATAGTTGCTAAGAAACTGTTGCTAAGGGGCGTTACTAAATCATAATTGCTAGGAAATGGTTTATAAGGGGCGTTACTAAGTTATGGTTGCTACAAAACTGTTTCCAAGGGGCGTAGCTGGGCAATAAATACTATAAAACTACTTCTAAGGGGCGTTACTTAATAATAGTTGATAAAGAAGTGTTGCTAAGGGGCGTTACTAGGTTTAGTTGCTAAGAAATTGTTGCTAAGGGGCGTGTCTAAGGGGAGGAGGAGTGAATATCGATTAAGGGTCGTTACTAAATCATAAATGCTAAGGAAATGTTTATAAGGGGCGTTACTAAATTATGGTTGCTATGAAAATGTTGATTAAGGATGTGGCTAAGTCTTAGTTGCTAAACAACTGCTTCTGAGAGGCGTTACTAGGTGTAATTGCTAAGATACTGTTGCTAAGGGGCGTCTCTAGGGGAGGAGAAATGAATATTAATCAAGGAGCATTACTAAGGGGCGTTACTAAATGATAGTTGCTAGGAAATTGTTGCTAAGGAGCGTTACTAGGGTTAGTTGCTAACGAACTGTTGCTAAGGGGCGTGTCTAAGAGAAGGAGTGGTGAATATTAATTAAGAGGCGTTACTGAATTATAATTGATTAGAAAATAATTATCAGGGACGTTATTAAGTTAGGTTACTATGGAACTGCTTCTAAGGGGCATTACTAAATAATAGTTGCTAAGGGGCGTTTCTAGAGAGCGAAGGGTTGAATATTAATTAAGGGGCGTTACTAAATTATGGTTGCTATGAAACTATTTTAAAATGGTAGGTAACTGTTGTTTAGGAGCGTTACTAGGTTATATAACAAGGAGACTGTTGTTAAGGGGCGTTACTAAGTTTTAGTTTCTATAAAAATGTTGCTAAGGGGCGTGGCTAAGTAATAATTGCTAGGCAACTGTTGCTAAGGGGCGTTACTATGATGGTTGCTTAGCAACCGTTGCTAAGGGGCGTGTTGAGGGGGAGGAGTAGATATTAATTATAATAAAAGTTTAATAATTTTCTTATAAAAATTAATTCTTATAAAAACATGATCTAATAATTTTTATATCTAAAATAATTTTAGGCTTAGAAACATATAATTAAAAAAAATTATTCCCGATAAATAGACCGTAAACTCTTATAATTTTTTTTTTCAACTTTTTATCAATGATTATCGAGTAGTCTCAGTAGGTAGTTATTAAAAGAAGTAAATAATATATTTAAATTGATAAAAAAAATGAGAGGTCCTGTTTGATGGTTAAATGGTAAATAGATCAGTTGCATCACGAATAGAGTAGTCACGAAATGAGATCGTATATATTGTGCAATGGACTTTCTCTAGTTCTCCCACGGTAGTAAATGAGAAGAAGAGTGCTCTATAGAATGAGAAGTAAAGTAACCATCCGCTTTTTTATATCCATAAAAGTATAAAATTGTTAATTGTAAATTCTGTATATTTTACCTGTGCCTGACATGAGCCCGTCGCGGAATAACAAGTACTCCATAGCTGTTGCCCAATTAAGTGGCGTAGTGTCTGTATCATTTATCTTGAATACCAACGCGTACGCTACGTGATTATGGAGATTTTTTCCTACACCTGGCAAGTGGTGGATTATCGGGACTCCTACCGAGGAAAGTTCTTCTCGCGGGCCGATTCCGGAGTTTAGTAAAATTTGCGGCGAATTAACAGCTCCTAAAAAACAATTATGTTATAATTAATCGAAAAAAATTGTAACTAATTTGAATTAACTTACCTCCGCTGACAATAACTTCTTTGCGCACGCTGACGCGTCTTAATTGCTGGCTCTTGGAGTACTCGACCCCAATTGCCTGACGGTTGTTATTAAAAATGATCCGTGTCACTGTCGCGTTTAAGAGGATATGCAAATTGGACCTGTTCTTCACAGGACGTATAAACGCACGTGCTGTTGACAATCGTGATCCGTTGCGTGATGTCGTTTGCGCTATTGCAAAACCGGTGTGTGTTCTACCGTTCAAATCGACGTTGTCGTAACCTAAATGTTAATGGCAATGCAAACATCATTAATTAATCACTTGTAAGTCAAGTATATTATAATTATGTTGTATTATAAGTACTATACTTATACGAACCTAATTCCTTGCCAGCTTCGATCAGAGCTCGGCTCAATGGCGGGTGGTACGGAAACTGGGTCACTGTTAATGGTCCGCCGGAACCGTGGTACCCGTAATCCATTTGATTTATCTGTTGATTATCTTCACTGTAGATGAAGTAAGGCAGTACTTCCTGGTAACTCCAACCTGAGTTTCCTAGACGCGCCCAATTGTCGTAATCTTTCTTCGAACCTCTCATATAGGTCATTCCGTTCATTACACTTGTTCCGCCCAGTACCTAAAAAATTATTAATAATATTTTTATTCAATTTTTAATGAATTAGTTACAAAAATATTTAGTTTCTAGCTTTTTGGTTAGTTTTGTGAAGCTCCGCCCCTTTTTATCAAAACCCCGCCCCTTCACAGCAACGGGGCCTATTTCCATAGCAACGCCCCGCCCTATTATAGCAACGCTCTTCCCCTTATTATCAAAACTCCACCCTCCATATCAAAATTTTTATTTTTCAATTTTTTAGAAATATTTACTTACGCTCCTCCCCCTTCTTAGCAACGCCCCGCCTCTTCATAGCAACACCCCGCCTTCTCATAGCAACACAGTCTGTTTCTATGGCAACGCCCTGCCTTTTCATAACAACGCTCCTCCCTTTATTAGAAAAACCCTGCCCCTTCATAGCAACATAGTGGATTATCATAGTAACGCCCCGCCCTCTGACAGAAATGCCCCCTTTTTTTTTTTAGCAACGCCCCGCCTTCTCATAGCAACGTTATTTTTTGTCTTAGCAACGCCCCGCCTCTTATAGCAACACATTATGTTGCCATAGTAACGCTCCGCCTTCTTTCTTAGCTCCGCCCTTTTTTAATTTTATAGAAAAAAATGTCACTATCCTTTTTGTAGTACATTTCTATGGTAACGTCCCACCTTCTCACAGCATTGCTCCGCCCCTTTCTCAGCAACGTTCCGTCTTTTTATAGCAACGCGGTCTATTACCATGGCAACGCCCCTCTCCTTACTAACAAAACCCCGCCTCTTCATAGCAACACAGTAGATTCTATTGCTAAGGCTCCGCCTTTCCATAGCAACGCCCCGCCCATTTTCCTTAGCCCCGCCCCTTTCTCAAATTTCCCAGCAAAAAAATGTCACTAACCTTTCCGCGAGGCCAATAACACCTTCCTTCTTTATTCAAACAAGCTTCTGGCTCAGGTTCAGTGGAATACTGCCAGTCAATACTACTTCCCAGAAAATTAAAGAAAAAAGAAGGAATTTGCGTGGTAGTTGGCTCGTCCAACCCGGCTTCAATCAGCAAAACTGAAAATTTGTCATTCTCGGCAAGCCGACCAGCAACCGTAGCGCCAGCACTTCCTCCTCCGATCACGATAAAATCATAACTGCAATTAGCGAATAAAAAAAGACATTAGACACGACATTAATGACAGTAATTACCATTTATCATTTGTGACGGGATGACAATGGAAATCCTTCAAGGGTCACGAATAAAAAGTGAAAGTAACTATTGATTAAATAACTATTTTATTCTATAATTTATTTGTAATTTTAGAGTAAAATTTACCTTGAATTTATTTGCTCACGTGACTTGGGCCGGTTGCAAGGATCCTCGAGGTCACATTGGCTGCGTAAAAATACCTCCAGGAGGCCCATAAACAGCATAAATGATGGCCCCCCGCATGCCGATGCTAATGATGGGCCAGTTGGAGCTCCCAGTGGGCAATCGCAGCTCATCTGATTATAAATTTATCTATTTCAGTGTTTTACATTCATCGCGACCTTGAATATACATTTTACTCCGTTGCGTTCACTGACCGCGAACTTTTGGTATTTAAATTAAATGCAATACATTAATCTAACCACGGAAGAAATTAAAAAGAAAATTCGTATCTTTTTTCTTGAATTTCTTACCGATAATTGAATAATTAATTTTTTTTTAATAATATTAAATCATCAAAATTAAAAAAAAAAAAAAAAAAAAAACTCACCGCAGCAGAGTATCAAGTCCGTAGTTGATTGTCGAGCGTCCAGAAAGCGACTAGATCCTCGGAGGCATCACATTCTCCCATCGGAAATCCCACCGGCGAAATTCCACCTCCTATATGGATAATATTCATCCTCTTTATACTACTTACTATTACTTACCATTACCTGTAACCCGTAACTTGCCACACTCTTACAATAGACCAAACTTTCATTCTCTAATAATTATCTCAAAGCAGCCTAATTAATTTTTACAACTCATAAGCTTCATTTAGCCGTTAATTATATTGCCCATTTTTTTCAGAAAAATTAAGTAATAATTTATTATTAATTTTTTAACGTCGTCATTTGTCTAATTAGTAAATTTTTTTTTTATAAATCATAGGATTGATTAATTTTTTTATTTGACCCTGAAGCTTCCTCAGAATCGTCAACAATGCATACGATTAATCATCTATAGTGAATTCTTAATGATTAATATTTAAAAATAGTAATCATATTGTTGTATTGGCTGAAGTTAAAATTTTTCTTTAAATTCTATTCTTGCACTGTACTTTTTTAAATATTGACGTTTTTAAAGATATAAGCTCATTTTTGTGTTACACTCATCAAGAGCTTTCATTTGAGTACCCACATGCATTTTTTATATATTTATATATATTATATATATAATTTTTGATATATTTATATATATAAATATATCAAAAATATATAAAAAATGCATGTGGGTACTCAAATGAAAGCTCTTGATGAGTGTAACACAAAAATGAGCTTATATCTTTAAAAACGTCAATATTTCACAAGATACAAGGTCATTTCTTAATCATGTATCTAGAGATAATTTCGAATGCAGCCTAAATATCGTAATAAATAGATTATCGGTGATAATAATATGAAACTTTGAAAAGGCACAAATTAAAATCAAGACCTTTGCAATGACACTAAATTTCACTAAAAAATCCGATTTTACCATATGACTATCCTGGACACAAAATTTTTCTTATTCTCTTGATAATAGAGATTTCTAAACGTTTTTTTTTTTTTGTATTTACTCGAAGTATGCATTAGTTTAAGTAACTATTGATAAATAGTTATATGGACTGTATTTAAATAAATATTTTTCTATCGTGTTAAACAAAAAATAATTAGGTGACTGAAAGGTTGTTACGGACGATGGCTCAGATAGCTTAACTGTCCGAGCCGTTGGTGCTCGACCAAAAGATCCGGGTTCGATTCCCGGTCCGGGCTGTAACAATTATTTTTTCTGTTTTCTCAGTTAAAGTTAATAAAGATTACTATTAAGCCGATATTTAAATAAAAATAGTTTAAGTAACTATCTATTGGGGTTCAATATAATTTATTATTTTAGGTATAAGAACTTCTATTAAATAGTGGTGATGCTATTTAACTAGATTTTGCTAGTTCAGAGAACCAGATTTTTCTCTCAGTGTAGCCTAAAAATCAAGCTTCCAACGATTAGTTACTTTAAATCGTTAGTTTTGATATCACAAGTTTTAAATGATCTGGCAATTTTATAATTTAAAAAAATTCATAAAAACTCGGTGGAATTTTTTTTTAAAGGTTGTTGAAAATAATCCTAAAATTTAGTTGGTGATTTTTAAAAGTAATTATAAGAAAACTATAAATGCATTAAAAATAATTCCATGACTTTAAGCTTTCTATTTAAAAATTAAGATTCCAATTGTCACATTGAGATCCAAAGTACCCTCCTAGTGTAAAGAATGTCTATAAAAAAATAATACGTAGAAATACTTTTATCTTAAAATTAATTTTTAAAAATTAATAACATTTTTGAGGAAATTTCCGATAAATTTATTCATTAAATAATTATCAACATTTAATTGACTGATAAAAAATATAGCACTCTGAATTACCGGTATACATTTGACAACACCGCTCGAGTGTCCCTAACCTTAAAATTTATTTATGTTTACTGTCTAACTAAAATGACTAAGATCTTCTAGCATTTAAAAAACCGCGGTTACTTATATATGCTTTGAGTAACTGCGCAAGCGGTGTTGCCGAGTCAAATACAAGACTTTAAAGAACGCAAGTGTCCGAGTGATTTTTCATAAAAAATCTAAAATATCTCCGTAAGCCGTTCGGAAAGCTTCTTTTTATTGTTTTAATCTTTAGCTTCATATTTTTTCAATAAAATTCAATGAAAATAAAATTTTTTTTTAAATCGTTAATTGCATTAAATTCTTAACCAAATCGTCTGGTGGAAAATCTCCATCTATAAATTACAATTTTCAAAGCTAATTATTTGGAAACTGTTTTTTAATTTTTTTAATTATTAGGCTACGTAGATTGAATTTACAAGCTTTCTATTGATTAAATATCAAGATTCCGTCACATTAAATCGTATTATAGTTACAAGAATTTATTCATATATTTACAATAAGATTCAGACCTAATTCGTCTTATTTCTACCCCGATTCGCCGTATCATAAACCCCATCCTCAGTGTAATAATCGTCTTTGAGTCTCAAAAATCCTGAAGAATTTCCCTGTCCATAGTCAACCTTGACAGTCCCAATTCCTGCAAAAAACCTTATTGAACACCCAAAACTCCCCAAAACCACCTCAAAACTTACTTGGCTTGGGTTCAAGATTGTTTTCAATCCTTACAACAATCCTCGGTATAGATTGGTTGACCTTGATGTCCGAAATAGGCTCTCCGTAATCCACCAAAAAGAATTCCGTTTCATTATCAGGATAATCTGCAGGAACGGCGATAATTTCCACGGTCGAATTATCAGACCCTGAAAATTGTCTCCTGGAGCTGATATTCTCCGCCAACTTATCAATCAATTCATCAATCAGCACCGAAGGAACAACCGGCTGAGCTTTTCCGATCAACTCTCTTGTTTTGTTTATTATATTAACGTAACTTTGCCGTTCGTCTCTTAATCTCTGCAAAACAGTGATCACGGAAATTTTTTTCTGGTCGTCCATAACCGCAGACTCGTTAACTAGCTGCTGTATCATGCTCTGTTGATTGTACTCTATTACCGGTGCAATTGCTTCCAGGAGTTTCTCGATTAGTTTCATCACTGACAAGTAGTAGTCACTTGAAGCCGTCTTGATATCTAAACTAGGAACCTTATCATCAAGCTTTCTTCTAGAGGACCCATCCTTTGGGTAGAACAGCGTCAGATTCTTGTCAGGACTCTTCAAGGCACTAGAATTGCCAGAATCAACAGTAGTGTTCAAAAAACTGCGCATGTGGAATTCAGGATTGATCAAGTTTTCAGTTTTGTAAGAAAGCCCTTGAGTATGATCAGAAGAATTCCAAAACCCGCCTTTGAAATCCGTTGTTGGAAGCCAACGATGAAAGTGTTCCTCAGTGCTGTTCCTAATTTGAGACAGCCAAATGTTAAAAGCGTCATCACCCAGAAGGAATCTTATTGTTTGCAACCACTGTTTGAACTCCGGAAAGTTTTTGTCCAGCCGAGATTGTTCCACCCAGAAGTTTATTACGTCCGATTTGTTGTTCAAGTTTTCTAATAACGCAAACAGCAAACTGCTTTTTGGTTTTTCTGGTGGAAGTTCTTGAGAAACATTTTTAAAACTTTCTCCGCAAGTTTTAAAAGATCCTTGAAGGTGGCATTTCTGACCTCGAGGGCAGATCCATCCTCTGCATTGCTCGTAAGACTCTAAGTCAGATTCTGAAAGCAGGGAACAAGTGCTTGAGCAAGATTTAGGTGCCTTGAGCAAAACCCCTAATTTCTTGATTAAGAATTATGATTTATCATGAGATAAATGGTAAAAAATGACAAACTTTGTAAGACACATAATTAATTTCTTAATTAGAAATTATAATTTATCATCAGATAAATTCTAAAAATGACAAACTTTGTAAGACACATAATTAATTTCTTGATTAGAAATTATAATTTATCATCAGATACTTAGGTAACATATGCTTGAGCAAGATTTAGATAGTGTCTTGAGCAAAACCCGTAGTTGCTAGTGTCTTTTTCTACATATGGGTATTAAGTTCATGTAGAAAGAACTAGTTCAAGATTTATATATAACTAGCTCAAGACATCTTGTGGAAGAATATGAGACAAGTCTAGTGCAAGGTGCATTGAAAAACTTTCTGACGGATTTTTTCAATCAGAAGCTCACAACAGACACTTACCCATGATTTGCTCAACATTTGCTCAAGATCCGTAATTCTCAGTAATTTGTTCATTTCTAAAGCATTTGTCAACCAAAAACTAACAGCAAATGTTGAAGCGTGACTTGCTCAAGATTTGCTCAAGATGCATCATGCATTATATATTTTATAGCACTTTTTCCCCGACAACTACTTGAAGATGTATTGATTCAGTGGTGGTCATTTTAAAATAATTTTATCTTGATCGATAAAACAGTAGGTCTATACTCTAAAAGGTTAAGCTGAATGAGATCCACTGATCCTATAGTAAATATAAGAGGAGTAGAATGATGCAAACGGTCATTCGAAAACATTTGATCTTGAGCAGATCTTGAGCAAGTCTTGCACAAGTATATTCAGGATGCTTCTGGTGTCAGTCTTTCTCAAGAATTGATATAGTTAGTTTATCGATAAGCATCTTCAGATTTTCTCAATTTTCTTACACAATTGTTGAGCTATAATCTGGCCGAAAGTTCTTGTACAAGTCTTGTTCAAGACTTGTCAATTGAATTTATTACAAGTATCTGGAGCAAGATCCATAGGTAGAAAAAGACACTAATAACTATCGAAATTGAGACCAGATTGGCTTAAGTCTTGTAAATATTGTTTTAGAACACTTACCTGTTCGAGCCAAACAATCCGGCGAGTGAGTGCATTTTGAGAAACCGCAAAGTTTTTCCGGTTTTCGGAGGAAACATTCGTGAGGTGACAAACAGCCAATTGATTTACATTTCTCAAGCCAAGTTTTGATCTCTAAAAACAAAAGACATCAGTACTTTCTTATATATTATATCAAATTCTAATTCTGTAATCACCTCTTTTGTTGAAGCAAGCCTTGAAAAGTTTGCACGGCGGCTCTCTGCAAATTGATTCTCTGAGAATGCAATCCTCGCCCAAGGGACACTTGTACCCAGTACAAGAAGCCGGTCCATCGTGGAACTCCATTTCCGTAACACATCTCGCGACCTGTTCTCTGCAACCTGACAGAATAAATAAATAAATAAATATCTATCATAAATCAACTTAGAATCACTTACTTTCCCAGTTGCATTGCCGAAGTCTCACGGTGCAGACGAACCCATTGCTGCACTTGACATTATCGCAAGAAGTTGGTCCCTCTAAAGACTCTTTGCGATTTTTAGCGCAATAACGCATCTGCGGGCACGGAGGTGTCTCACATGAAAATTTTCTGTTAACACATCTTTCCTTATTTTTGCACTTTAGCAAACACACTTGGTCGCTTGAAACTTTGACCACTAATAGTATTACAGACGCTAAGACTACCTTCATGTCGTTTCTGCTTGACACTATATGCAGAACTGAAATCGATAAGCGTAATTGGACGCCGTCGTATATCCGGACGATGAAAAAAAAAAATATCATTGTTAATTCTTTAATTATTCTCTGATGTAAACAACAGCTTCGGGAGCAATAACATCAAATGCAAAACATTTAGTTACTTTTTCTTTCAAATCGTCGTACAATTCCCAGTCGCCGTTAATTCGCCGAACGTGGGCTTTAAAATGTTCGGAATCTCCCTCTATGACCCCCGCGAGTCTGAATTTTGTTTTCAAGAAGTTCAATTTTTCGGGGAACATGTTCAACTTGCATTTGTATTTTTCATTGCCCGCAGAAATGTTAAAATTGATGAACAAATAATTCTGCAGTTCAAAATACGTTTCAGAGATATTTTTGCACAAACGACACCGTAATTTATTGTTTGTAAAACTATTGAGTTCTTCTTCGATCGAAATCTTTCTAGTCGGACCAAATTTCACTATTTCAAATGCTGATTTTTTCGAGCGGTTTTCCGGATGACAGGTGAAGTGTCTGTAAGCGCTGGGCAGTTCGTCAAAGTACTTCTCCCAGACTCCGCGAATCGACCCGAAAAGGTTGATAGTAAGCGTGGGAGCTTGCCCGCCTGATTTTGCAAGAGCTAGGTTCTTCGACACTAAATAATCATCCCGAAGAGAAGCTGCCTTTGAGCAAGGACCCGCGCGAAGTTTCAGGATCAAATCTATGATTTGTGAGTTTTGTTGCGACGCGTTTTCAAAATTCGGGTAGTCAGTAACGTTCGCTAGGAGAATCTGGGCTATTGAATCGAATCCGCAGGAGTTTTTAAGCATGAACATCTTTCCCTCCGAGCGATAAGTTGGATTTTTGCTCCCGTTGGGCAGAAGACAGCATTCTTGCAATGGCAGTTTTGTTAGATGTTGTGCAAATTGTTTATCAACAAATTTGTCCATATGCATCAATTCTGACAGTGTGTTTTTAAAATTGTCTTCAAAAGTGTCTTCAAAAGTAGGATTAGTTTCTATTTTATTGGAAGAGTCGTCAAGATCATATTCTGAATTCGTTCCCGTTGAATAGTCAGAATCGTCTCCAAAGTCAGATCTCCAATCGTTTTCTACATAATCAGGTTCAGTACTTTCTGACGGCACTTTTTCTGACTCATGCCTATCCAATTCATCATTAGGTTCAAATATCTGCGATTTTTTTATATTAATCACCGGTCTTTCATCACTCTGGCAAACATATTCAAAAACCTTTCTATTTTTTCGATTCTCCAATAGAATACTTTTAGGTTCAGCCAAATCAAACGCTGACCAATTAATAACCTTAATTTTAGCTGTGGGATCAGATTTCTTGCCAACAATCTTTGCAACCGGCAGCAAAGATGCGTTTTTTGCAACCATCTTCAATTTACTCGTTGTAGAATTCAAAGCTTCCGATAAACGATTACCTTCGCCACTTACTGAACCCAGCTTTGCTTTAAATTCTCTATTAAACACATCAATCACCAGAGTCTTATTATCCGAAGTAATCAATTCACTATTCTCCAACTTGTTCCTTATCAAATCGAATCTAACGATCAAATTGTTGTAGACTTCGACTTGTTCATTGTAAGTTTTTTCGGAAAGGTTACTGTATAGGTCACTTTCTTCGATTTGACTTGTGTCAAATGACTTTATTATCAAACCGGTCTTCATTGTGCTAGCATATTTTTCAGTTAGTTCCAATAAAAAGACATTTAAAAACTCACTAACCTTTTCGAGGCTCGAAAGTATTTTTTGAACATCCTTTGTATTCAAATTAGATAGAAATGTCTTGATAACTCTCAATAGTCGGCGATAATCAATGATTTTAAATTTCAATCCATTGACAAAAGTCTTTAAAAGTGATACGCTTGCGTTTATTTCACTCATTTTTTAAATTTTTTTACTAATAAATAGCAAAAAAAAAAAAAACAAAATTATATTCAATAGAAAAGTTACGTTTTTTTAAATTTAAATTTTGGCGGGAAAGTGACGTAGTTCTTTTTCCGGTGCGCAGCGCCATCTTACAGAAAAATTAATAACTAATTTTTCAAATTTTGTCTTTACAAGCCTTTTTTCGAAATAATTCTTTTATTTTTATAAAAATTCTTTAGAATAACAAATTAATTAGTTTTTTTATCAAAAATAATTTTTTTTTAATTTGAATTTTGGCGGGAAAGTGACGTAGTTTTATATCCGGTACGCAGCGCCATCTTACAGAAAAATTAATAACTAATTTTTCAAATTTTGTCTTTTTAAAGCTTGATCGACTACATTAATAATTTATTTTATATTTTGCAATTGTAAAATTGTAAATAATTATTCTCTGACATATATCACAGCATCGGGATTAATTTTGAAGTCAATATCGATTAATTCAGTTACTGTTTTTGCTAAATCATCATAAATTTCCCAAGTGCCGTTAATTCGTCTGACATAAGCTATAAAATGTTTTGGCTTATGATCAACTACACCCGCAAGCCTGAATTTCTTTCCCAAGAAATGAAGATTGCTTTGAAAGAATTTAAGAGTGCAATTAGAATTCAAGCTAATAATTTCAATATACAATTGATCTTCCAATTCCAGTCTGAAATTTTTCGACCGACAATTTGGACATATCATTTTATCAGTCCGCATCAATTCATTCAATTTATCACTGATATAATTGTTCATTTTAATTTGTCTTCTTTCTGGATCCGTTTCGTTGATACCTTTGTCAACAATTGATAACAAATGTTTAGGTATCGTTTTCATCGGCATACAAGAACAATCGAAGTGATAGTGACCGACGTGTATTGAATCGTAATAAGTATCCCAAATTCTGAATAAAGCTCCGAATAAATTCAATTCCCAAACTCCAAATTCATTTTTCTTCAAATTTGAATCTCTTTTATGAACCAAGTAAGAATTGCGATGTTGGACAGCTTCTGTTAGATCAGTTTTTTCTTGTAGATTCAGTAAGAATTTGGTAACATCATTTTTAGATAGTACCAATCTGGACTCGTAGCAAGGATCATCAGCTATAGCAGCCAGGAAAATTTGGGCTATCGAATCAAATCCACAAGTGTTGCTTATCTTTAGAAAGTCGTTGCCTACTCGATAAAGTGGACTATTGAAGCCGTTTGGTAGCAGAAAAATACTTTTTAGTGAACCAGGTCGGGCTCGTTTAAATCGGCAGCTTTCTTCAATTTGTGGAGACGAAGTTTTCCGTCTTCTTGAAGACGGACCTGGTTCATCTCTTGAATCTTCAATCTCAATTATATCTGAAATAATTCGGTCAATGTCATCGAAAGACACTGTTAAAATAGAATTTCGCATTTGTTCAACAGCTTCAGTCCGAATTGGACTAATTCGATTGTTTTGAGACAATAATTGTTCACGTTCTGTAGAACTTTCCGAACGCGAATCCCGTTCAGTAGCTTCAGTCTGAATTGAACTATTTTGTACGCTTTGAGACAATAATTCATTCGTTTGGTCACTTTCTGCAGAACTTGCATTTTCCGAACGCAAATCCCGTTCAGCAGCTTCAGTCTGAATTGAACTAGTTTGTTCGCTTCGAGCCAATAATTGTCCACTTTCTGCAGAACTTTCCGAACGCAAATCTTTTTCAACAGCTTCAGTCTGAATTGAACTATTTTGTTCGCTTCGAGCCAATAATTGTTCACTCGGAGAGTCACTTTCTGCAGAACTTTGACTGTCCGAACTCGAATTACTTTCCGAATTTTCATCATAAATCTCCAAATCATTAATAAATGAATCCAACCTATTTTTCCCCTGATCATCCGTTCTAAACAACCTTTCCAAACCACCTTTTATATTATTAAGCTTCTTAACATAATTATCATACTTAGTAATTTTTTTATTGAAATTCTTGATGTATCTTTTCAACCCTCTCTTTTCATAATTTTCATTCGTTATCCTGTCCAATGTCTTCATCATAAATTTTATTTCAACAGTAGCCGCTACTGCCTTTTCGTACCACAAATTTGCGTATTTCCGAAAATTGTTAATATCTTTATCAAGCTCTTCATACTTGTCTTTTACGAGTCGATATTCAACACGCGAAGCAATAGGTACATCAGAATTTCTTGTCAAGCTCAACTGATAATTATCCCAAGAAGTATGTAATTGCTTGTGATGGTGATTTAATCTTTCGACAATTTCAGTCTTTAAATTTCTCAATGATGACAAATCAAAATCTCGACGTTCAATCGACGACATTTTTCGATACTTTCAAAATTCTCTTACTATATAAAGTATAAATAAAAAAAAATAATTTTAAAATAATAATCTAATTATTCTCTGATATAAATTACAGCTACCGGACTGATCTGCAAGCTACGATCAGCTAGTATAGACATTGTTCCTTTTAAATCATCATAAATTTGCCAATCGCCGTTAATTCTTCTCACGTAAGCCAAGAAATGTTTCGATGACTTTTGAATATTTTCGATCACCCCAGCAAGCCGGAATTTTTGTTCTTTAAAAATCAATTCAGTTTCAAAGTAATCTATTGTAGAAAGCAGCGTCTCGTTGTATTGAATGTTGATAAACAATTGATCTGCTAATTGTAAATGGTCAGCGCAACTTTCATCGCAATCCTCAGATATCACAAAGTTATACTTATACTCCGTTAATTTACGAGCAATACTACCGGTTGTTGATTTATTCAATACTCGATCCACTTTAGGATCATAACCGATGTTCAAGGTATGTTTAAATTCTCTGAACTGATTATGCGGACAGTTAAAAGTTCCGGAATATAACGATGGGAAGTAATTATTCCATATTGCGACTATGTCTGTTTCCAAATCTAGGGTATTTTCAGTCAGTTTCAATCCTGGAGTATCAACCAAGTATCTCTTGACCAATCCAAGAGGATTTATTGGATTAGCTTTCAATTTGAACAGTAATTCAACTTCTCTACTCTGATTCTTTGCAAGTTTGAATTCATAGCAGGGATCGTCGATGATACTGGCTAGCAAAATATGAGCGATAGAATCGAACCCACATATATTCTGCACATAAATAGTTTTTCTGTCTTTTTCAATGCCAATTTTATCTAGATTTGCATTTGGTATGAAAGGACAGTTTTCAAGTTGCATTTCTTTATTTACTACCCTAGGACATGGGTTATTAGTTATTTTCTCACATTCATCTAAACGGAAATCCACATAACTGCTAAACATTTTAATGATATTACCCAAATAACTCAATAAAATATCGCTATTTTCTCTATTCCCCATTTTACTTGGCTTGACTACACTTTTGAAATATTTTATATACGCAAGTATATTCAATCTAAATTGAATATTATTAAATTCATAAACTAAAGGTTTATTTTCCATGCTCAATAAATCACTTTGTAAATTTACAAACTCCCCGATTTGATGGTTTAAATAATCAATTGTTTCATTGTATCTTTCAAGAGGTGAATTCAAAGTTATCATTTCGATTGCTTTCGATACTTCATTATATTTCTGATCTATCAAACCGAGGAAGCTATTGATGAGCTTATTTAATTTCTTGCACTCTAAATCGAGTCTGCTGAATTCGATGTACAGGTCAAAACGCTTTTCTTCGCTACTGCCCATTAGAATTGAGAGGTAATTTTTAAAGAAAACATCTACACGGTCACGAAATTCTATAAAATCTTTGCGAAACTTTGACATTAACTCCATAAATTTGTTTAGTTTACGGATATTTCTTGGATGCGTATTAACTGCCGACATGATGAGTTTTTTTTTATTTTTAGCACAGTATGCTACTATATAAAGCGTTCTAAAAAAAAATAATAAATTTTTAATTGTTCAATAGTTTTCTCAATTTATAAATCAGAATCAGAATCAGAATCAGAATCAGAATCAGAATCAGAATCAGAATCAGAATCAGAATCAGAATCAGAATCACTATTTTCTGAATCAGAAGCAGTAACGTCTGACTTAAGTTTTTTTATTGAGACCATCTTTCTTTTAGAAATTGGTGCGGAATATTCCAGCACATCATGATATGGATCATCGTTTTTCTCCCGATGTCTCTTTAGAAGAGGTCTTACTGAATCATTAGTTGAATCAGAATGACTGCTTCCTTTATCTTCAGATTGCGATCCCTCTGAATCGGAAGCAGTAACGTCTGACTTGAGTTTTCTTTTTGAGACCAACATTTTTTTAGAAATTGGTGCGGAATATTCCAGCACATCATGATATGGATCTTCGTTTTCCTCCAAATGCCTCTTTTGAGCAAGTTTTCCTGAATCATTAGTTGAATCAGAATGACTGCTTCCTGTATCTTCAGATTGCAATCTTTGTAACTCAGAAGCAGTAACGTCTGACTCAAGTCTTTTTTCTGATGCTATCTTCTTATTGTCAGGCTCAGAATTTTCCGAAGAGCTGGAGTTTTCATTTTGGTTATCATTAACTGCATCACTATCTGAATCTTCACCTGATTCTTCTTTAACCCCTCGAAGTTTTACGACTAAGTCTTGTGATTTATCTTTTGAATTCTTCTTTCGTTTTTCTCGAATATTCTCAAGAGTCTTCAATCTATTACCTTTGTATCTATTACCTTTGTATCTATTTTGCGAAGATCCATCATTAGGGTCCATATGAGTAGTTAATTTTTTACTGCTCAGGGGTTCGACTGGACTATCAATTTTTGGCGCGTCATTACTATCATCTTTTTCTTCTTCATCAGTTTCTGGATAGTCCATGATCTGCTGCGAGTTGATCACTTCTGTTTCACCTATTTCTTCAGATTCTGACGCTGAGCTTGCTGAATCTGATTCTGAACTATCCTCTGAATCAGAATCACTACTTTCTGAATCAGAAGCAGCAACGTCTGACTCGAGTCTACTTATTGATGGTATCTTCTTATTGTCAGGCTCAGAATTTTCCGAAGAACTGGAGTTTTCATTTTGGTTATCATTATCTGCATCACTATCTGAATCTTCACCTGATTCTTCTTTAACCCCTCGAAGTTTTACGACTAAGTCTTGTGATTTATCTTTTGAATTCTTCTTTCGTTTTTCTCGAATATTTTCTCGAATATTCTCAAGAGTCTTCGATCTATTACCTTTGTATCTATTTTTCGTAGAACTCTTTGGACTAGATTCATCAGTAGGGTCCAAATCAGTAATTAATTCTTCCTTTCTCAGGTGTTCAACTGGGCTATCAATTTTTGACGCTTCATCACTATCATCTATTTCTTCGTCGTCAATTTCTGGATAGTCCATAATATGCGGCGAGTTGATCATTCCTGTTTCTCCAATACTTTCAAATTCTGACGCTAAACTTGGTGGTCCTGATTCTAAACTACCCTCTGAATACGAATTACTATTTGCTGAATCAGAAGCAGCAACATCTGACTCGAGTCTACTTATTGGTGGTATATTCTTATTGTCAGGCTGAGAATTATCCAATGAACTGGAGTTTTCATTTTGGTTATCATTAACTGCATCACTATCTGATTCTTCACCAAGGTTTTGGGGAACCCCTCGACGTGACATGACTAAGTTTTGTAAATTATCTTTTGAAATCTTCTTTCGTTCTTCGCGCTTATTTTCTCGAATACCCTCAAGATTTCTCGATCTGTTTTCTCTGTATCTTTCTTTCGTAAGTGTCTCTGAACTAGATCTATCATTAGGATGCAATTTTGAGGCTAAGCTTGCTAAACCCAATTCTAAACCGTCTGAATGTTCCATGTTCTCTTGAGAAGCATTTGGTGATAATCGTTGCAAATTTGGTAGGTTATCACGACGACTGCCACTCTTTAGCAGACTTCCAATTTGAGAAGGCCTTGATGATTTTTGGACGTTTTGTTGCACATTATATTGATTTCCAGCAGTTTCTCTCGGAATTCTAGTTTTATTCGACGAAGGCTTATCACTTTCTGCCGCATTTCTTTTTTTCGCTTCATCTGATTCAGAATCTTCACCTTTCCGCTTACGTTCATCCGCAGCGTTACGATCAAAGTTAACATCTTCCAATTTAGAAATCCTAATTAACGGTGATCCATCCCCATTTCCACTCATCCTCTTCAACATGTCGTTCAAATGATCAGAAATGATTTGGCCTTTCTTTTTAGTAGTTTTATCACTTTTAACACTTCTAAACTCTGCGATATAATCTTTCACCGGGATTACAAACTTACGGTCATAATTCGTCGTGTAAATAATCAACTGTTTTTCCAAATGCTTATGAAAAGTATCCAACTTATCAATCTGAGTGTTATAAACCACAGCAAGCTTGTCGTGTTTCTTGATAATCCTCTTGATCTTTCGCGCCAAATTCGTCGCTTTTTTAACAAACTTCTTATCTTCTACATCAAATCTATCGTATTCTTTCATAGCTGATCCGTGTTCTACTCTCAAATTGTACAATTCCAACCCCACTGTCAGTATGTCCAAATAATCTTGAGTAAAAGCCTTTGAAAACCTGTTCAATTGCGTTTGAAACTTATCGCACAATTTTTCAATCCTCGTATAGTCATCATGAGAAACACTTGATGTATTTTTCTGCAGTTCCGTCTTACAATCATTATATTCATTTTCCAATATTTTACGATACTCCTCAGTGTCGTTTAGTACATCGCACATGAATGTTATCAGCGCTTCTATACTTTCGTCTACGCTTACGTCGGTAGCTAAATTTCCAACTTTTTTACTGGAATTCATTGTATTATGAAAGTTTTTCTTTACTATGATAATCAATAAAAAAAAAAATTTTTTTTTTTAATCAATTGTATAATTTTCTCAATTTTTTATTTTTCATCAATTTTTTCTAAATCACAATTTTCATCTTTTTTTGGAGTTTCCAAATTTTCATCAATTTTATGTTCTAAATCATCACAATTTGCATTTTGGTGCACCAATTCACAATTTTCAACTTTTACTTCAATTTCAGGTTCTTTTTTAGATTCAAAATCATCAATATTATCATTTTTGTGCACCAATTCACAATTTTCAGCTTTAACTTCAATTTCAGGTTCCAATTCATCACAATTTTCATTTTGATGCACCAATTCACAATTTTCAGCTTTTACTTCAATTTCATCCTCCTTTTTAGGTTCCAAATTATCAATATTATCATTTTGGTGCACCAATTCTTTTTCTGGTTCACTATCTTCAATTTTCCTGCGTTTTCTAGGTATTTCATCATCATCATCATCATCATCATCATCCAAACAAACCTCTTGATTCCCTTCATTACCTTTCTCTTCACCTTCAATCTTATCAACCTTATCATCACTAATACCTTCCATATCATCATCATTAATCCCCTCCTTTTTCAAACCTTCCAAATTCCCTTCTTCATTATCCAACACCTTATCTTCCAAACTACCATCATCATCTTCATTCAACTCCTCAATAATTAAAGGTTCTCTGCTATCATCAGTCTCCCTTCCTCCCGCAAGTCGCACATTAATCCCCACGAATTGAAACCGTCTAAAGTTATCAGTATTGCAGAAACTGTAACTATACATCATATTATCTTCAACAGAATCCAGATCCAAATTTCCATTCTGGATTTTGACGCTCTTATCACATTCTCGCGGAAATTGGCTGACACCCTTCTCCTCAACGGAAGCTTCTGAAGAGGAAGAATACGTCGAAACTGAAGAACGTGTGTACGTCGAGACGGTTTGCAAAGAGCTGATATTAGTCGAAGAGTCATCATCAGCATCATAATCATCTAAAACGGTAATTGGCAAGACACTTGAATTGTCGTAAAAGCCTCTGGGTAGGAATTTCGTCAAATCGGTTTTGTACCGCGTTAATATTTCCCTGCCGTAGGCATTGCACTCGTCGGCTTGGATCAGTACGTTCAATTGTTCAATTAATTTGTCTATCGACACAGTGTGCTTAACGTTGCTCTTGGAGGTGTAAACTATCGAATTGGTAGATTCGTTCACAAAGTCGTTCAATTTCTTCACATATTCGTTGTAAACAGTCGCCATGTCGTTGTAATGAACCGGAGTGTGCTTTAATTTGGGATTCAAGTTAGTAAGCGATTTAACGTTTCTGCCGATAACATACGCGTTGAAGCAATCGTTTTCGACGACTGTTGATAACTTGTTGACGTTATCGTAATTGGTCTTCCTTTCGCCGTTGAACCTTTGGAACAGCGATGTTATCACTAAATCCGGATTGTTTTTTACAAGGTACACTGATACGCTGTCGTTGTCGTAATCCAGGTGCTTCTGGAAGAGTCTGCGCCATAAAACAAACTTACCGACGAAATTCTCGAGGGTGTTTAAGCTTTGGTTGATATTAGAGCCTGCTAAATTGACCATTTTTTAGTTTATCAGTTGTATGATTTGCTTCTTGTCTACCTTATTTGTTAGAAGGTGATAAGGCTTTGTGTTATCGCTGGTACGTGATTTGTTTTGGCTATTGATTAGTCATTGATAAGATTGATTGATTGATGAGGTTTTTATGGACGAAGAAATTAAGACGTCAGGAAGGAAATGTTTTAGTAAAATAAAATTGTATTGAAGAGGACTTTTATTTAAAGTTTTATTAAGAGGAAGATATTGAGTTTAGGGAAAATTTAAGAGACCTAAATTGTAGCTTAGAAAATTTCCTACAAAAAACATTACTATTATATAGGTCTATTTTCAATATTTTAGAAGATAAAAGGACATTAAATGATAAAAGAAATAAATACCCATGAAAGAATATACTTTACTTAAAAACAATCTTACAACAATAAAGCCTTAAAGTATAATTAATCAAAAGACAATTGCCGGAATGACCCATCAATTCCAAAGAGTTCATCAGAAGTCTTGGGTCTTCCAATTCGGTACGCCTCGTTGGACTTAACAGCCTCCTGTTCCTTGAACCAGGGCCCATAATCTTCTAGCTTCTTGATCCAGGTGTCGTTGATGGCCTTTATGGGCCCTGCTTTGCCGCCATATTCCTCCGGGAGGATTTCTCTGGGGATAAACTCGTAGAGCGTCTCCATATTGCTGTGCATGTGGATGCGGTTCCGTATTTTCTCCTTGAGGAACGGCTTAACGAATTGGACTATTTTGTCGACGAGGGCGCTGACGTTCACCACGTGGATCTCCTTGAGCTTAACCGGGTAGGCTTCTTGGACGCAGGTTAGGAATTTTTTTACCAAGTCGGGCGTGAATTTTGAGAAGTGAGCCGGTGAGACGACTGAAGCGTCGAGGATGTAAACGTCGCCAGCGACACCTACTAGCTCTTCTAACAATCTTACGTCGCCGATCATCATCACTAGTTTCATCGCCTCGGCGACGTTTGGCGTCGGAATGTCTTTGTTGGTTCCGCGCATTATTATCACGCGGCGGCCATTTTTTGTCAGGCCTGGCAATGGCGGGATTTGCCTGAAATTTTAAATAATTTTATTAGTATTGTTATTTTTATTATTGTTCATTGCGTAATGGGGTATTCTTAAGAATATATCAAAATTTTAACAACATCGGACAATTAGGTTCTGAGATATGGACTATAATGTGGTTACATTGATTTTAAGCGTCAATGCAGCAGAAAAATGTCATTTCTTGATTAAAGATCTGCTTTATTTGAGTTTTGAAGAGATATTGATGATAATGTTACTATATAAGTAAGTCAAATACTTGGAAGTGATTGAAATAATGCATGAAAACGAATATGCATTGAGTTTGAGTGTCCATGCAGTAGAAAAATTTCATTTCTAACAAAAAGGCATGTTTAATTTGAATTTTAAAGTGATTATGGTAATAATTATCACTATAGTAGTTGAAATATTAGGTAAAAATAATTTTGCATTGACTTTGAGCATCAATACAGTTAAAAAATGTCATTTCTAACATAAATGCTAGATTAATTTGAAGTTTAAAGTGGTAATGATGATAAATATCACAACTACTGGTTGAATTTTTGGATAAAAATGATTTTAGTATTGATTTTAAGCGCCAATGCAGTCGAAAAATGTCAGTTCTTAAATAAAAATTGGCTTAATTTGAATTTTGAAGGGATATTGATAATAAATATTACTATTCATAATTGAATTTTGAATAAAATTGTTTTTGAATTGATTTTGAGCGTCAATGTAGTCGAAAAACGTCAATTCCTAAATCAAGACTCGCTTAATTTGAATTTTAAAGTGGTTATGGTCATAAATATCACTATAGTAGTTGAAATATTGAATTAATATAAATATGCATTGATTTTGAGCGTCAATACAGTCTTAGAAACATTATAATGTCTATAAAAACTTATTTAATTACAATTTGTACGTGATATTAATGATAAATGTTGCTGTTAGCAACTAAAACATTGATTTTAATATTTTTGCATTAATTTTGAGTATCAATGCAGTCTAAAAATTTTTTAAAAATGACAATAAATACTTACACATGCTTTAATATTTCTTGCATTTCAGGTCTCGTTATGTCACGGTTTGCAAAAAATTCCGGAGCAGCTCCTCGCATTGTAAAATACATGTCGAGTTTTGTTTTGCATTTTTCTAATGAAAATTTACTGCCTCGTAAAAAAGTCATCAACCGTTGATCATCTGTGAGATAAAAATAAATATTATAAAATATTAAATATAGAATATTAAGTTTAATAATAAAATACTATTTACCGAAAGTGTCAGGTAAATGAGGTTGTTTTTTCAACCACTCTTTGATGTGCTCCAAATCCTGATCTCGAGTTGCGACATTCTCGTTCAGCTCAGCGCGTATGAGCTTCGACATCTCTTCGGTCGGTTGTATAAGCAACATCTGTGAAAGATTTTATAAAAAATTTTAGTAAATAAAAAGTTATTTTATCTATAAAAATCTTTACAATAATCTAATCATTGAAAAAATGACCGTAACTCCTAAAATATTGATTTTAGAGAAAAATCATAAGTGACCAAAATTGTAGCTTAGAAAATTTCCTACAAAAAATGTTTATGTTATATAGGTCTGTTTTCATTATTTTAGGAGATATAGTAGCTTAAATAGCTCCTATACAATTAAATATGAAAAATTAATTTCTAATAATTATTTAGGTTATAAAAACGGCTATAACTCCTAAAATATTGATTTTAGGAGAAATTTATAAGAGACCGAAATTGTAGCTTAGAAAATTTCCTACAAAAAATGTTCATGTTATATAGGTCTATCTTCAATATTTTAGGAGATAAAGTGACCTAAATCGTGCGTAGGAGTGCGTAGATAACTACGCACTCTAAAAATGGTTATAACTCATAAAATATTGATTTTAGGAAAAAATCATAAGATACCAAAATTGTAGCTTAGAAAATTTCCTACCAAAAATGTTTTCATACTATAGGCCTATCTTCAATATTTTAAAAGATATTGTATTTTTTATTGTGCGTAGTAGTGCGTAGATAACTACGCACTATAAAAATGGCTATAACTCCTAAAATATTGATTTTAGGAGAAATTTATAAGAAACTTAAATTGTAGCTTAGGAAATTTCCTATAAAAAACACTCCCGTACTTTAGGTCTATCTTCAATATTTTAGGAAAAATAGGAACTTTAGGAGCAACTAAACAATAAATATTATATTCTCATAAATTATTTACTGAAATAAATGGCCATAACTCCTAAAATATTGATTTTAGAGAAAAATCATAGGAGACCTAAATTGTAGCTTAAAAAATTTCCTACAAAAAATGTTCATGTTATGTAGGTCTATTTTCAATATTTTAGGAGATATAGCCACTTAATTAATATTAACACAGTTGAAAATAAAAATTTATGATCTCGTCGTTATAAAAATGACCATAACTCCTAAAATAATGATTTTAGGAAAAAATCATAAGAAACCTAAATTGTAGCTTAGGAAATTTCCTATTAAAAATGTTTTTATACTATAGGCCTATCTTCAATATTTTAGTCACTACACTCTTATTAAAAAGTTTAAAAAATCCACAAAAAAATGAAAAAATCCTTCAGATCCTGAACCTTGAACTCAACTGATTGCGCAATATCATTAAAATTACCTGTGGTTGAGCACAAATTAAGAAATCGCGATTAACGTGTCCGCACACGGAGATTGCTTAACCATCACTTTCTCTTCTTATTCGTCGAGTAAAAGTTATTTCATATTTTCTATTCAATGTACGTACCTTGGTCATTATTGTCATTTTAAAATAATAATAAATCCTGCTTGGAAAAAAAAAAAATATTAATAATAATAAAAATAACCACCAACAAATCTTAAGCCGCGAATTCGAAAGACTGAACGCGAATTCTGGGACCGGTTCTTATATATATATTAGCAGAGTCCCCTCCAGAGTATCAGCTCTTGCTTAATTTTGTTGCCCAAACGTCTTAATAGTTAAAAAGTAGAAGGCTGCAAAAAAAAAATGTTCGCTCATCCGTGGAACAATTTTCTTAAAAAACAGTAAACAATAATTAATGTGTAATAGTCCAGCATTAAAGCCGAACAATTTTTTATTTCAATTTTAAAGTTTAAATAACCGCAAGAGTTATTGACAAAATAAATTCGATTATTATGATCAAATTTTTTGTCATATTCGATGACGAATTTCGAGGCTCACGATTTTCCTCTTCAGGGCCATCTTCAGGGACTTCTTCGGGCTGAAAGAGAATTAATATATATTTTAAAGATATAAGCTCATCTTGATATTATACTCAGCAAGAGCTTTCATTTGAGTACCCACATCAATTTTTCATATATTTTTGATATATACATATAGAAATATATGAAAAATTGATGTGGGTACTCAAATGAAAGGTCTTAATGAGTGTAATGTCAGGGTGAGCTTATATCTTTAAAAATGTCAATAGTTCTCAAGATACAAGGTCATTTCTTAACTAAGTATCTAGAGATATTTTCAAATGCAGCCTGTTAATTATTAATAAATATTCATCATCATTTAATAAATCATTTATTAATAGTTAATATAGCTTATTAATTATAAGCAAATCCATCTATCATTAAAATTGATTAAATTGCAATTAATACTTACTTGCACTTCAGGTTCCTCGTCGAGTTTATCGTATTGTATAATCTGAAATAAAATAAAAAATCTAATAATAAAAAAATCTAATAATAAAAATTATTGCGGGAAATTACCTCGTCATCATTAGAGCGTATGACGCGTTTTTTAACTCTTGAGAGTGTATTATTACAAAGTCCGGTGCAATTATCTAAAATTGATCTAACCACATGAGGAATTTCGTAAATTAACTTTATACTTTCGAATAACTTTTGATTTTCTGTTGAGAAATACGGGCTCTTTGTTTTGCATGCTCCGGTTATTATTATTGTTTCGTCCTTTACTTGTTGGAGTAATTTCTAGGAAAAAATTATATTATTGTTAATTTTAAAAGTGGGATTTGTTGGAGAGGTTGACCTTAAGAACATATTTTAATTTCAAGGAAATCGGATGAGTAGATCTTGAGATAATGACTAAATTATTCTGCATTGACTTTGAATGACAATGCAGCGAATTTATTTAGCTTGTCAAAATTCAACTAATTTTATAATTAATTTAATATTAATAACATAAATCACTATGAAAAATTAACAGATTAATTTTTAAAAATTTCTGCATTAATCTTGAGTGTCAATGCAACATAAAAAATTATTTAGCTTGTAAGAATTTAACTATAATTTAAAATTGATAATTGAAATTAATGTCAATGTTAAAAAAATTAATTAAAAACAATTCTGCATTAATTTTGAGTATCAATGCAGCGTTAAAATTTTCCCTAGCGGTTTTGTAAATGCCGAAAAAATGTCGCAGTTATACAGTATTAATGCCGTATTTTTTCCAGCATTTTTTCGGTTGTTTTGGTCAGTTTTTTCATCAAAATATTACGGAACATTTGCCGTAAAAATGCGAAATATTTACGATAAAAATGCGGCATATTTATGGTAATAAGGCGGTAAAATGACTGTATTAAAAGCATATTTAAAAAATGGTGTAAAATTAAATCAAGCTCAGACTGGGATTCGAACTGAGAACCTCCCGAGGACAAGTCGGCTACTCTACCATTTGAGCTACCCGGCCTGTAGCATATTTTTTTTTTGCTTATTCTATATACATTAAGCCATACCGTCCATCTTACGATAAGCATATTTAAAATTAAATAATATAGTTATATATGTGAAACAATGTAACTTTTCGATTTTAGAAAATTTGCAATTTTCTAAGTGAGAAATTAAAAATTGAAATTGAAATTAGAATATATTTACTTAACATATGTATTTTTTAATATTCATTACCGCTAAATACCTAATTAAAAAATAATATTCTACATAGTATTTATTGAAAAACAGTATTTGTTTTTGCAAAGTAGCGATGGAGAATAAAAAGCAAAATTGGAAATTTTTCATTTTATTCATTTCTAACATAGAAGTGAACTAAAAATAAAACCAAATTTTTAATAATTTTCTACTATGTCAGATAATATTCTATTCGGCAAAATTACTGTATTATTACGGTAATTATTTGGAATTTTTTGGGTAAAATTTGGGCATTAATGCGGTAATTGTGTACTATATTTTTGGTAACTGTACAGCATAAGTGCAGTATATATACTGGATATTTACAGTATAAAAACTGGCCAAAACAACTATAGTTTAACCGCATTATTACCGTAAATATACGGCATGAGCATAAATGCTGAAAAATTACAGTATTTTAACGGCATTTTTTAATTTTAACTAATTTAATATTAATAACATAAATCACTATAAAAAATTAACAAATTAATTTTTAAAAAATTCTGCATTAATTTTGAGTGTCAATGCAGCACCAAAAATTAATTAATTTGTAAGGATGTAACTAATTTAGCGATTAATTTAATATTAATAATTATAATAAATGTCAATGCTTAAAAATTAATTAAAAATAATTCTGCATTAATTTTGAGTGTCAATGCAGTATTAAAAATTATTATTTTGTCAAAATTTAACTAATTTTATAATTAATTTTGCATTAATAACTATAATCTTTGTCAATTATTAAAAAATTAATTAAAAATAATTCTGCATTGATTTTGAGCGTCAATACAGTTAAAAATTGCTAATAATCCTAAAAAAAATCTATTAAATTTGAATTTTAACATGATATTAATAATAATTATTACTCTTAATAATACCAAAATAATTTACATTGATTTTGATCGTCAATATAGTCCAAAAAAATAATTAAACTGATTAAATCGAAATATTAACAATTTCATATTAAAAAAAAAACCCCCAAATAATAATTAAAATAAACAAAAACCTTACATTCAACTCATTTAAATCCGTCATAACAGCAATCATTAAAAATCTCCGATTGAGTGCCTCTAAATCACGTAAAGTCTTGACAAAAATATCCTTCTTTCCTCTGACATCATCACCAAAGTTCATTCCATCAAAAGAAAAAAATTTCTTCATAAAAAAATCAATCATATTCCAAAGTCCATTCTCGAGTTCATCACCTCGGATAATCCTGCTGTTACTTTTAATTCCCGCTTGCTGAAAGTATCCTTTCGACACCGTGCCTGCAAATTACCCAATAACTTGTAAATTAATCCTCAAAATTAATCCCAATTTAAATGAAATTAATTACCAATATTAATCTTCTTAAGTTCCGCCCAATTCAACAAATCATTGACATTGTCCCTGAAAAATTTATCGCAGGTGCAATTTTCACAATTTTCATAAAATCCTTTAACAGGAAACGACTCATTATCAAATTTGTCAATTTCGTCGGAATCAAGGACGACCCATAAGACATTTTTGGTTAAATTTTGAGCTTGAACGGTAAATACGAGCAAGCAGACAACCCCAAGGGTAATTTTCATCTAAAAAAAGACAAATAAGGTTAGAAGCTAATAATTGCCGTAAATTAGGTCAAAAATATTAACAAAGTTTATGAAAATAAATAATTCAAAAATGACAAATCAATATATTTATGTTAACTACCGCCTGAGTAGTATAATGCTCGTAATAAATAAATTATTTTGACATTGAAACATGATTTTAGTGTACATTTGTACCTTTGTAAATAATAAATAATAAAAACGTCAAAGCCAATGTCTTTCACTATATGATCAGCTAATTTCCAAATCGATCCGCCGCTCCACTTATTATTTCATCCACCTGTTATTATTTAACAGTTTAAACTACTCCTCCTATTTGTCCCTTTTAATGTTTAATAGTTGTCAATGCTCAAGGCTCTAACCAAAATCCGTTCCCTAGCGACTGAAAAAACAAAAGCGCATCAAAAAGTTAAAATAAAACAGCATTTAAATTCCAAATTTGAATTACCTAACCATATTAACCATCTCTAAACATTACAACATAATAATAATAATAATAATAATAACAATGAAATCGTCGATAGTATTGACGGTGAATAATAAATTAAGCTTATAGTCTCAATGGTTCCCCTTGATAAGTATAGCGCGCATGCGCGGTACTTGTTTCTCCGCTGATTCGTCCACGTTGGGACGATTTAGAGTGGTGGGGAGCCCTCGGCAGTACTCGTCCAAGTTTCGTCGAAGGAATCGGCTTAAGGGGTAGGCTAGAGTAAGAAAATTGACGAACATTAACGAAGAAAAGCTCATGGTGAAGACATCGCAAAGTGGTCGAGCTAACTCGCTCGGTTTTTATTAATCTTACCTGTTTCTGAAGAATATACAAACCTTTCAAGGTAAGTTCCAATGGTTCCTGTTCCTGGAACTGAATCCTGTTCCTGGAATTGGTTTTTTGATCCTAGAACTGGATAATTAATTTATAATTAATTCCGTTTGTTGCAGATGATGAAAACAAAGCACCAGGGGCTGGTTGCTGACCTGATGCCCAACATCAGGTTGATGCAAATCAGCGGGCATTTTATGTTCAATTACTACAGCGATGGCAAGAAATTGATGCACAAAGTCTACTGCAGTGTCCACTTGTTCCTAATACTGCTGCAGTTTGCATTTGTTGCGATTAATTTAGTCGCGGAAAAAGAAGACGTGGACGATCTTACCGCGAACACGATAACAATATTGTTCTTCTTACACACGGTGATTAAAGTTATCTACTTTGCCGCGAGGAGCAAATTGTTCTATCGCACTCTAGCGATCTGGAACAATCCGAACAGCCACCCGTTGTTTGCTGAAAGCAATGCAAGGTACCATGCTATTGCGATTACCAAGATGAGGAGGCTGCTGTTTTGTGTTGGAGCTGCTACTATCCTTACTGTCATCAGCTGGACCACTCTTACGTTCTTTGAAGATCCTCATGTTGAGCGGCTGGATAAAGAGACCAATGAAACTTACATTGTGGAGGTTAGTTTTTGTTTTTATTATTATTTTCTGGATGTCGTTGGAATTGTGCGAATTATTGATTCGAGCTTATAGTGCATGTTCTGTGGGAATGGACGAGCTAATATTGATGTTTATAGTCCAACAGTGTTTTGTTTTATTTTTAGGATTAATTGTGCGGGAATTTTTAATTATCATTAGTAATATTTATTTAAAGAACTATTATTGAAGATAGGCCTATGGTATAAAAACATTTTTTATAGGAAATTTAATGAGCTACAATTTTGGTCCTAAACTCAATCAATATTTTACAAGTTATCGCAATTTTTCAAATAATATTCCTAATTTTCCAGATTCCAAGATTATTGGTGCGATCCTGGTACCCATTCGACGCGCGTCATGGAGTAGCGCACATCGGAATGCTAATCTACCAAATCTACTGGCTGCTGGTGTGCACAGTAGACGCAAATTCAATCGACGTGCTCTTTTGTTCATGGCTGCTGTTTGCTTGCGAGCAGCTCCAACATCTCAAGGCAATAATGAAGCCACTTATGGAATTAAGTGCGACCTTAGATACTGTGGTGCCTAACAGCGGCGAGTTGTTCAAGGTAAGATAAAAAATTATCTAACAATACTAACCATAGGCAACCTGGTGATAAAAATTTCTAATTTAGGCGGGAAGCGCTGATCATCTTCGAGATAATGAAGGTGTACCTGCAGAATCAGCGATGAACGGCGACAACATGCTGGATATGGATCTTCGGGGGATTTACAGCAATCGGCAAGATTTCACAGCTACTTTCCGGGGTACTGGTGGTACCCAATACACCGGTGGGGTTGGTCCTAATCAACTTACTAAGAAGCAAGAGATGCTGGTTCGCAGCGCCATCAAGTACTGGGTGGAACGTCATAAGCACATTGTCAGGTAATATATTCTTCAATACCTTAAAATAAAAAATAATTATTTTTTTTTAATAAAATTAACATATCGCATAGCAACTGTTTATATTCACACGGTTATAAAAAATGGATTTGCTAGAGCGCGATATTGACCGTAACGGGGGACGTGCCCTCCGACCAGAACAATTCTCTGGGTTGTACAATGTACAATTACTATCACTATCATAAACGATGTATAGACACCTGCATATACACGTGATATAGTTTGTACATAACAGTGGTTGTGAAGCTATAGACTCTAGAAGCTATATAACACACTGGTCTCGGGTCAGGGGTTGATTGCAACCACCTGCTCTCGAGTTTTCTCTACTTAAATATTTAACAGCAACATTCAACATTTAACATGGAACTCTTTTAAAAAATTAAATTATTTTCGTGAACAATTTAAAAAGTTTTCAAGTTTCTTGTCAAGGCTAATAAAATTTTTCAAGTAGAATCCTTGATTTATTTATTATTAATATTTTATTGTTTTTTTTTTTTTTTTTTTTTTTTTTTATTTTTCAGGCTCGTCACTGCGATAGGAGACGCTTATGGTGTGGCTTTGCTGTTCCACATGTTGATTACCACCATCACCCTTACGCTGCTCGCTTATCAGGCCACTAAGGTAAGTACTTTTTTTAGTATTTATTATAAAGGTTTCTTTATTAATGCTTGTGTTTTTCTTGCAGGTCAATGGTATCAATGTTTATGCCGCGTCGACTATTGGGTACTTGTTGTACTCTCTTGGTCAAGTATTCTTGTTCTGTATATTTGGAAATCGATTAATTGAAGAAGTAAGTATTGAAAATGACAAACTTTGTAAGACACATAAATTAATTTCTTAATTAGAAATTATAATTTATCATCAGATAAATTCTACAAAATGACAAACTTTGTAAGACACATCATTAATTTCTTTATTAGGAATTGAAATTTATCATGAGATAAATTCTAAAAAATGACAATTTTTGTAAGACACATAATTAATTTCTTAATTAGAAATTATAATTTATCATCAGATACCTAGGTAACATATGCTTGAGCAAGATTTAGGTAGTGTTTTGAGCAAAACCCCTAGTTGCTAGTGTTTTTTTCTACATATGGGTCTTAAGTTCATATAGAAAGAACTAGTTCAAGATTTATATATGAGCTCAAGACATCTTGTGCAAGAATATGAGACAAGTTTAGTGCAAGGTGCATTGAAAAACTTTCTGACGGATTTTTTCAATCAGAAGCTCACAACAGACACTTACCCATGATTTGCTCAACATTTGCTCAAGATCCGTAATTCTCAGTAATTTGTTCATTTCTAAAGCATTTGTCAACCAAAAACTAACAGCAAATGTTGAAGCGTGACTTGCTCAAGATTTGCTCAATATGCATCATGCATTATATATTTTATAGCACTTTTTCCCCGACAACTACTTCAAGATGTATTGATTCAGTGGTGGTCATTTTAAAATAATTTTGTCTTGATCGATAAAACAGTAGGTCTATACTCTAAAAGGTTAAGCTGAATGAGATCCACTGATCCTATAGTAAATATAGGAGGGGTTGAATGATAAGAACGGTCATTCGAAAACATTTGATCTTGAGCAGATCTTGAGCAAGTCTTGCACAAGTATATTCAGCATGCAAGAATTTTAACCCAATTTTTTGGATAAAAAATATTTGTTTTTTAGAGCTCATCTGTGATGGAAGCTGCTTATTCATGTCATTGGTACGACGGTTCAGAGGAAGCTAAAACGTTTGTACAAATAGTGTGTCAGCAATGTCAAAAAGCTATGTCTATATCAGGAGCTAAGTTCTTCACCGTGTCGCTGGATCTATTCGCTTCGGTAATAAATTAAAAATTTTTAATTTTAAACAATCAATAAAAAACCTAAAAAATTAATTAACTAATTCAAAATTCATAATTACAGGTACTCGGAGCGGTAGTGACGTACTTCATGGTGTTAGTACAACTTAAATAAACAAAAAGTTTTAAAGTTTATTTTAAAATTAATTTGTATAATTTTACATATTATTTTATATTATTTAAGATTAATTGTTTATTTACCGTTTTTTTTACGTTGACTGTTAAATTATCGAAAAAAAAAAAAACAAAGAAGAAAATAAGGAAAAAAAAAAAAAAATTGGAGGTGTTTTAGTGTTTAATAATTTAAGAATAATAATATTTATTGTGTCTGCACGGTCATCTAGTTAGGGGAAATTTATACGCTAATTGTGATTAAGCATTAATTTAATTTATAATTAAAACTTAAATAATTTTGTTTTAATATATTTATATATATATAAATTTAGATTTTTGTTAATGTAAATATTGAGAAGTTAAATCAACCACATTTGTTTTTCTTGTTACTATTGTAATTAATCAATTCACTCTTTTATTCTTATTTTAAAATAATATTTTATGGAATAATAAAAATTTTTTATACAAAAATTAATTATATTATTTTATTTATTACCTAAAAATCAAGATTCCAATATTTTGTCATATTATTTTGATAAATAAGTGATATAAAAAGCAGGTCATAAAGAAAAATAATTGTTTATAACTTGTTATAATTTTTTTAAAATTAATTAATTGATATTTTAACATAAAAAAAGTGCTTGTAATAGCTTATACTGTGGATTTATCAATTTTTTTCGGCTGGCAGTTCAATAAATTTTTAGTCTTTTAACCAGCCGTTAAGATACAGCTCGACCGCCGATAATACAGTTCCCTGTTGTTTATTTAAACGATTTACTTTAAGCCTAAAGTAGCGTTTAATTTTTATAAAGATAAATATCACTCAAAAATTTTAAAAAAATTTTTAAATAGAATTATACAATTAATTTCTTATAATTTATTTTTGAGTTCCTAGAACATCGATTCCTGGAACTTCTGTTCCTAGAACTGCTGTTCTTAAAACTATTGAGAGGGTTCAATTCGTATAAAACTAAATATTACTCCTAAAAAATTTATACGAACTTTTAAATAGAAATAAAAAATTAATTTTTTATAATTGATTCTTCTATTTCTAGAACTATTTTTCCTGGAACTGTTTCTAAAACTATTGTTCCTGGAACTGTTTCTAGAATTAATGTTCCTAGAACTGTTCCTAGAAGTTTTTTTCCAAGAACTGATCCTAGAACTTTTGTTCCAGGAACTACTGTTCCTGGAACTGCTGTTCCTAGAACTATAAAGAAAATTGAATTCGTATAAAACTAAATATTACTCCAAAAAAAACTTTATGAACTTTTAAATAGAAATAAAAAATTAATTTTTTATAATTGATTCTTCTGTTCTAAGAACATCGGTTCCTGGAACTTCTGTTCCTAGAACTATTGTTCCTGGAACTCTTGTTCTTATAACTATTGAGAGAGTTTAATTCGTATAAAAATGAAAGTTACTCCGATAAAATTTGTATGAATTTTTGAATAAAATTAGAAAATTAATTTCTTATAATTTATTATTCTATTTCTAGAACTATTGTTCCTGGAACTGTTCCTAAAATGATTGTTCTTGGAACTGTTCCTATAACTATTGTTCCTGGAACTGTTCATAGAACTATTGTTCCTGGAACTGTTCCTATAACTATTGTTCCTGGAACTGTTCATAGAACTATTGTTCCTGGAACTGTTCCTAGAACTATTGTTCCTGGAACTGTTCCTAGAACTATTGTTCCTGGAACTTTTCCTAGAATTATTGTTCCTGGAACTGCTGTTACTAAAACTATTGAGAGAATTTAATTCGCATAAAAATAAATATTATTCCAAAAAATTTCATCCAAACTTTTTAAAAAAAATTATAATAATTAATTTTTTAATTATATAATTTTTTATAATTCATTTTTAATCACCTTATAATAATATTTATTAAATTAATTTTTAGTGTCCAGTGAACTATTTTTTTTCTACTGACAAAAAATTATAAAAAAATTGAAAGTATATACTAGTTCATTTAAAATTTCTTAAAATGTAAAATTTTAATCCAAATCTCCTGTCACTATTTCTTAATCTCCTTACTTCAGTTATCTCTAAAATATTAAAATGATGACGCATTCCTACTTAGAGCTACAGTTTACTTGTTATGTCTACTAACGCACATAGCATATGCTCAGTCCACAGTATTATGGTACAATATATAAAATCTACAACTCAACAATTATAAATAAAATTCATAATTCCAATAATTCCCAGATACAGCTAACAATATATATAAATATAACTATATAAGTAAGTGAACGTATAATATACTTATATATATTATGACTTATTGCACAAGGCTGAATACTTGAGCTAAATACTTTCACTTAGTAAATAGTAAATATTGTAGACGCCTGGAACTAGTCTAACCTAACTACGCTCAAGGTGCATACACTATAAAGTTCATTTTTGTTTTCAACAATTGCATTTAAGGTGAGTTTCTTTTTAATTATTGGTTTAATTATTAAAAAAAAAATTATTAATATAATTATTAGATATTAAATTAATTTTATTAATATTAAATATGAAATAAATGTAATTCCTAAAATATTGATTTTTTTTAGGAGAAAAATTGTAAAAGAGCAAAATTTAAGCTTAAGAAGGTTAGAATAAAAATTCGGTATATAATACTATAGAGTTATTTTTGGTATTTTAGGAGATATAGTTAGTGTAAATTGTAAAAAATAAAATTTTTTTTTAGTTATTAGAAAAATTGCGATAACTCCTAAAATATTGATTTTAGGAGAAATTTATAAGAGACTAAAATTATAGCTTAGGAAATTTTCTACAAAAAACGTTTTTGTTATATAGGTCTATCTTCAATATTTTAGGAGATATAGTAGCTTAAATAGTTCCTATATAATTAAATATGAAAAATTAATTCCTAATAATTATTTAGGTTATAAAAATGGCTATAACTCCTAAAATAATGATTTTAGGAGAAATTTATATGAAACCAAAATTGTAGCTTAGGAAATTTTCTATAAAAAATGTTCATGTTATATAGGTCTATCTTCAATATTTTAGGAGATATAGGAACTTTAGGAGTAACTAAGAAGTGGAAAATTAAAAATTATGATCTAGTCGCTATAAAAGTGGTCATAATTCCTAAAATAATGATTTTAGAAAAAAATCATAGGAATCTAAAATTGTAGCTTAGAAAATTTCCTAAAAAAAATGTTATTGTACCATAGGTCTATCTTCAATATTTAAAACAAAAACAGTGACCTAAATATTATCTAGATAACAATATTTAAAAATTCATGATAATCTAAGATAAAAGACCCAGTTATTTTATTCTATTAAAAAAAATTAAAAAATCAATTTTTTTAAAATTTACAATTCAAAAATAATATTTATTAATTTATTAAAGTTTGATTTTTTTTTTTTAAATTAAAATAAAATTACCTTTCAGATTCTCCAAAATGGGCGGCAAAAGCTGCAAGTCCTACTCTATAACCCGTAGATCCGCCTCGCAGGAGGCGCCATCTACCGGCAGTTCCTCAGACCAAGACTACATAACCGGCGTAGTGTGCCAAGAATCGGAAATCTCCGATAACCAGATGAAGTTACTCGAGTTAAAAGACGGAACGGAAACGGAAGTAGGAAAAATCCTGTTGATAAAGCAGAAAGGTCAGTTGCACGCAATAGGAACCAAGTGCACGCACTATGGCGCCCTTTTGCACACGGGAGCTCTGGGCGACGGTCGAATTCGCTGTCCTTGGCACGGAGCTTGCTTTAATATCAAAACCGGGGATATAGAAGACTATCCAGGGTTAGATTCGCTTCCGTGCTACAAGGTGACCTTGGAACAAGGTCAAGTGATTGTCCGTGCTCGCCGAAAGGACCTTGAAGCCAACAGGCGGCTCAGAACTGCGAATTTCAACAGCTGTTCCGCGTCAAGGTCAGTTGTGATCATCGGAGGGGGTCCAGCTGGCGCCACCTGTGCTGATACTCTTCGCCAGGAAGGATTCGCTGGAAGGATTTTGATGATCTGCAAGGAACCAGTGTTGCCTTATGATAGAATTAAGGTTTCTAAAATAATGGACTTTGATGTGTCCAAATCGCTGCTGAGGAACCAGAATTATTACGACGAGCACAATATTGAAACAAAGCTAGATGTCGAAGCGGTGGAACTGGACACTGATAACAAAACAGTGACCTTAAGTTCCGGAGAGAGGATTAGTTACAGTTGCGTGTTCCTAGCAACTGGCAGCAAGCCCAGAATGCCGTCTGTTCCAGGAACCGAATTGAGCAACGTGTTCCTGGTGAGAACTCAAGAAGACGCTGCTAGGATTAACAGCCAGTTGTCTGAGGACAAGCATGTCGTCGTTCTGGGCCAGAGCTTCATTGGAATGGAAGCTGCGGCTTATTGCCAGAACAAGGTGGCATCTGTAACAGTAATTGGAAGAGACACTGTTCCACTTCGTGCTGTCTTTGGTGAAGAGATTGGAACCAGGATACTCAAGGAACATCAAGCCAAGGGGGTTAAGTTCGTGTTTAATAACAATATCGCCAAGTTTTTGCCAAAGGAACAAAGCAATGACCTTGGAACAGTGGAACTTACAGATGGAACCAAGTTACAGGCTGATGTTGCTATTGTGGGCATTGGTTCCAGTCCGTATACAGATTGGCTCAAAGGTTCCAAGGTTCTGATGCAAGATGGCGCTGTGGTTGTTGATGAGTTTTTGAAGAGCAGTGTTGATGATGTCTACGCTGGAGGAGACATTGCTTATGCGCCTGTCTTTGTTTCGGGAGGTGCTAAGGCTGCTATTGGGCATTATCCGCTGGCGCATTATCATGGGAGGATTGCTGCTTTGAATATTTGCCAGAAGGTGGCGCCTCTCAAGGCTGTTCCGTACTTTTGGACTAATTTGTTTGGAAAGAATTATAGATATGCAGGTTAATTGCATTTTATTTTAAATTTTATTTATCTACAATATTAATAACAATTTTTTTATACAAGAATTAAATTAAAATTGGACAATCTTAATTTAAAATATGTTTAAAAAAATTAATTTTAGTGTTAATAATTGGTCCTATTAAGATATTAAAAAAAAAAATTTTTTTTTTAATTTGAATTTTCGCGGGTTAGTGACGTAGTTCCCAATCCGGCGCGCAACGCCATCTTACAGAAAATTTAAGAACTAAATTTTTAAATTTTGTCTTTTTAAGCCTTTATTGACCAACTTTTCAATTTATTTTTGATTTTAAATTAATTTCATGATATCTTGGTGGCTAAAAAAAAATTTTTATTAATTTTCAGGTCACGGACGTGCTTCAAGCGTTAAAATCTACGGATCTTTGGAAGACTTTAAATTCTTCGCTTACTATTTGAACGACGGAAAAGTAATAGCGATGAGCAGCGCCGGAAGTGACCCAATTGTTTCCGACTTCGCCGAGTATATCTACGAAGGAAATGTACTTACCGAGCAGCAGATCGAGGACAATCCTATCGGGTGGATGCGAAACAAGCCTGTAGAACTTTTGCGAAATATATTTAAAGATAAATTCGATTCGCTGAACAAGTCGTAAGATGTCAGACATAATTTTGTGTGCTTAAAACAGTATTTTTTGGGATTAAATATTGATATTTTAGGTTTTGTAAGGGTATTGGGTTACGGAAGGAGCCAATGCAGAGAATATTAAAAAAAGAGTTCCATACGTTAACCCATAAGCACATTAACAGTCACAAAAGTTGTACAATGAAATTTCTACACAAGTTTATTAAATTAAGACTTTTCCGTCCTATTTAATTTTTCTATTTTATTATAGTAATATATAAATATATTTGTTATAATTTACAAGAATAATAAAAAAAGAGCAACCTATACAATAATAAAAAAAAACAATTTCATCACATGATTATCCTGGAGGGAAGCTCCGCCTCTTAGCAACGCCCCGCCCATATATAGCAGAGCGCTCTATTACCATGACAACGCTCCGCCCATTTATAGTTAAACTCCGCCCCTTCATAGCAACGCCCTCTATTATCATAACAACGCCCCACCCCGTCATTGACAACGCATTTTATTACCCTAACAGCGCCCCGCCCCTTTACATAAAAGCTCCACCTCTTATTAACGCCCCGCCCATTCATAGCAACCTAAACTATTACTATAGCAACGACCCGCCTCTTTATAGCAACATCCCGCCCCCTTTATGACAAAGCTCCGCCTTTTCCTTAGCAACGCACTCTATTACTATGACAACGCCCCTCCCTTTTTTAGAATCGCCTCCTACTACCAAAAAAACAATTTATAAATTATTAAAAAAATGATTATTTATCATACAGAAGGTAATACAAGGTAATTCAATTATTATTTATAATAAAATAAATATTTTTATTAATAATATCTTTATTAACCATCTACTTTAATTAACTTTCCGTTGATTAAATTGACTGTACCTCCTCTCAAGCTCCTCCTCCATGGCTTGTAACTGTTCCCGGTTCTGCTCCTGAGTCATTTGTTCCATCAACTCGTGATTATACGTTGAGTGGAGCATCAGCGCGAGAACCCCTGCTCTAGTCGCCATATTGGAACGGATTTGGCGTTCCTGTTCCACCAGTTCGTCAATCTTCAACCATTGTCTGACGCGTTCCATGTCTATTTCCGCCCTGCGCAGCTTTTCCCACACATAGTGCTTAACGCAGCTCTTCTTCGGTGCTCGGCAGAATTCCCCGGTAGTGTCGAAGACATTCGTCACTAGAGGGCAGCCACAGACCTCCGTGTCGCTCACTTTTGGGTCCTTGCAGTGCTCGGGACAGAGGACACGCAGGCGCTTGCAGTACGTTCGGTTTATTGGGTTGAAGAAATCGCAGAACATCACTTGACCTTCAATTCGGGTTTTGAAGATTGAACCGAATGATGCTTGAGATTCGTACTGTAATTAATAATGAATAATTATTAATTACTGACCGTTTGGCTGTATATTTATATGTCAGGGCCAGAAAGTTGGCGTTTTTTCTTTGTTCAAATTTGAGGTTAAACATATAAATGCTCATATAAACAACTGCTAAAGTTCTGGTCAAATATACCATAAGTTATGATATATTATTTGACCAATTACATTACGAATAAATTGGCTTCACATATACCCTGATAGCTACGCTTTTTTTAAAAGTAGTTGAATTTCATCAGTTACAGTTAACTTAAGGTTGTTCGGACAATAATGATCACTTTTTAAGATCAAAAGCTAATTTTTTGATATGTTACCCATATAGCAATTTTTTTCAAGGCTTGAGCAAATCTGGTCGCAATTTCGATAGTTGTTAGTGTCTTTTTCTACCTATGGGTCTTGCTCCAGATACTTGTAGCAAATTCAATTGACAAGTCTTGAACAAGCCTTGTACAAGAACTTTCGGCCAGATTATAGCTCAACAATTGTGTAAGAAAATTGAGAAAATCTGAAGATACTTATCGATAAACTAACTATATCAATTTTTGAGAAAGACTGACACCAGAAGCATGCTGAATATACTTGTGCAAGACTTGCTCAAGATCTGCTCAAGATCAAATGTTTTCGAATGACCGTTCTTATCATTCAACCCCTCCTATATTTACTATAGGATCAGTGGATCTCATTCAGCTTAACCTTTTAAAGTATAGACCTACTGTTTTATCGATCAAGACAAAATTATTTTAAAATGACCACCACTGAATCAATACATCTTCAAGTAGTTGTCGGGGAAAAAGTGCTATAAAATATATAATGCATGATGCATCTTGAGCAAATCTTGAGCAAGTCACGCTTCAACATTTGCTGTTAGTTTTTGGTTGACAAATGCTTTAGAAATGAACAAATTACTGAGAATTACGGATCTTGAGCAAATGTTGAGCAAATCATGGGTAAGTGTCTGTTGTGAGCTTCTGATTGAAAAAATCCGTCAGAAAGTTTTTCAATGCACCTTGCACTAGACTTGTCTCATATTCTTGCACAAGATGTCTTGAGCTCATATATAAATCTTGAACTAGTTCTTTCTACATGAACTTAAGACCCATATGTGGAAAAAGACACTAGCACCTAAATCTTGCTCAAGCACATGTAACCCGGGATGTAGTTAAAAAATCAAAAATTGATTTATAATTAAAAAAAAACAAGTACCTTATTAAAACACTTCTCCATATGTTTAATAGCAGTCCTTGAATGAATCTCATGCCCACAAGTGATGCAATACATGCTCATCTCAGTGTCATCATTATCATCAATCTCAAAATTAGGATCAATTGTTGCATTCTTAGCTCTCTCTACAATTCTATCCAATTCTGCATGTCTCTTATCCAACTCCTGAAGAATAACCCTGACATCCTGCTGCTGCTTCCTAATGGACTCAAGAGAGTGCTGATTGTTCTGCTCAGCGACGCAAGATGTCAGTGACCACTCTTGAATCCTCTGTGGCAGCACCTGATAAATCCTATTGGTCGCTAATTTTATCCCACACTCATCCGAGCAGTATTTGCTGCCCACCCTAGATTGCCTAGTACAAGCTGGGCCGTAGCATTGCCTAGGAGTCTCGTATAAATTATAAAGCTGCTCTCTTTCATTACTAGAGTCGCGCTTGCGCTTCTTGCTAGGTTTCTCCGAGCGGTTCAGGCTTTTAGAAGGTTTTAGCGGGATTGCGCCAATGGAACGGCAAGTTCGCTGGATGCAGCGAAGCTTAAGCCGAACTGAGAGCCCGAATTTTTTTAAATGCCGGCAGGGGTCGCACTTGCCGCAGTTCTCGGTTCTTAAGCAACCGCTGCACTCTCCGCAGCGCTTTGATTGAGGTTTTTTTACTATCAGAGCCTCTTCTGCCCACGGCTCGTCGTACTCGTACCCCCGGCCGGTTCCGGTTCCCGTTCCGGGGGTTCTGCCGTCTTTGTGGCGGTACTTTTTGAACCTTCGGTCTTCTTGCTCGGTTTTACGAGGCTTGTAGCGGGTTATTAATGTCGAGTCTTCTTCTCTGCACCGCTTTTTTTTTTAAAATTTTTATTAATTTTTACTAGGCTGCTTTTTTTATATTTTATATTTTTTTCTTAAGAAAATTTCAAAGGAAAGTCTTGAAAAAAATTTTAGGTACTTTTTTGGAGTATTTTAGTGCAAAAAATAATGAAAATGAAGTGAGCCGACATTTCAAAATTTTTAGAAATTTTTTATTAAAAAAATTTCAATTAAAAAATTAAAAAAAAAATTGTCACATGTAAAAAACTTGATGCACTATAAGTGCAATTAGGGTAAATGCACCAGTTGTTGACCGGTCACCAATTAGTTGACCGATGTATAAAAAAGTTAATTAATTAATATTTTACAAGAGTTTTTTTTTTCTTAAAGGATTAAAATAAAAAAATATGGCATTTAATCATCATAATAAAAAATTACGCAATTAATTGCGCAGTGATTATAGCTTTAAAAAAAATATTGTGAGTTTGTTTACAACGCAACCAGCCATAAAGCGGTCAAAAATAACTACCGTACAATTGGAGAGTGAGTGCATTTCATAATTAATTTAGTGATATTTATCGGCACAATATCAAATATTTTAGTTTTATTATGTTAATTAAAGATCAGATTCCAACTGTTTTGAATAAATAAAGTTAAATTATAAGTTTTAATATTATTATAAGACCGGTCAACTATTGGATCCATCAGAAGCCCTTTACCCAGTAAAAAAATTCATTCGGTCATTTATTAGACCCTCTGATTTTATCACAATCCAATTAATCACCGTATATTTATAATACTAACTTCTTAACATCAAAATTAAATCTGTCAAGTGTTTAAAGTACTTTAGTCATTAAATAGTTTGTAAATATAAAAATAATCATTATAAAAAATGTATATTTACAATTAAAATAATACTTAAAATCTTTTTTGATTATTAAATTTTATTTTATTCTAATTTTTTTAGTGAACGGTTATATCAAAAGAACGAATTATTAGAAGAAAAAACTGCTAAGCAATTAAAAAAATAAAAAAGAATTACAAGCTAGTAAAAAAGCTTTAATTAAAAAAAA